GGGGAGACGTCCATGAATTGCTGGCTCTTGAATTGCTTGCGCGTACCACTCACGATGCTCGCGAGGGTCAGCAACTTGTGAGAATCGTCACCCAAGAGACGGGGGTCCTGTAACCTCCACATCACATAGTTCAGCATCGGCGCAGCCATGTCCGTTGCAATGGCAAATAGAGAGCCTGGCTGATTTTCCGGATGGGAAATTTGAAAGCCATCCCCACGCATGATCACAAACCAATCTTTGGGCGGCTCCGCGGCAGAAGGGTCGGCGGCCACGGAATATTGCCGGAAAGCGTCAATCTCGTCCAACAAGGTAAATACCCATGAAGCTGGCGGGGCAGTCATGGCAGAACTTGTCTTTGCCAGACATTCTATCATGGCCGGCAACCGCCGCTCCTGCGCAGCCCTCGCATCGAGTTGTTTTCGCGGTGCAAAATTTGTTTGTGTGAAACTCAGGGCTTTGAACTCGGCCAAGTACGTAGTTAGGATCCCTTCCGCTACCCAATCGTCGTCAATTTTCCAATTGGGCGCCAAATCTCGCAGCTCGGTGCACAAAAAGTCGGATACTGAGCGGTGCGTGAAATCCGCCGCGTGTTTCCGGTCCGAGTTCAAGGTCCTGACCTCGATCAGGCCTTTGCACCAACTTTGCAACCTCTCGGCCGTCTGTATTTCTCGCTTCCTATAATCGTGCTCGTTGGAGCAAAGAGGAACCGGAAAGAGAAAACGCCTATCCTCATCGTTGTGTTGGCAGTTATCAAACGAGTCGAATATGTAAGAGAGACCGAACAATGTGAGTGCTTGGGACGTGGTCACGTTTTTGGCTGGTGAAAAGTTGTTCGAATAATCCCCGGCAATGCAGTAGCCACGAAGTCGTAACATCATCGCCAGTACGAAGTGCGCTCCTCTGGCATGATGCTTGGGAATAGTCTTGAAGATCCTCCGAAAAAACTCATTGAGTTCGTCTGGTGCTGTTTCGATAAGCCGGTGGATCGTGTGGAATGATGTACTCCGCTGGTTCGGAAGTTCTTCCTCTATGAGCTTCAGTAAGAACACAACCCACAAGAAGACACCTTTGGCGTTGTCAATGATCAGTCGAGTTGTCTTATCCTGACGACCATCGGTGTCTGACAGTGCAACACGCTGGAAATAAGGATTGGAACTGAGCCTTTCATGTACCAACGCGCCGATGTCAGCATCAGTGAGATGGTGGAGTGTAATGCGATGCGCACAATGCAAAGCTCCAAGTATCGGAGTTTCTTCTCGGCTTGAAACACAAAGCTTCACGTTCCTGTGTTTTGCCCAGCTGCCTAGCCTGTCACAGAAAGCCCAGAGAGACTGGCTAGGCTCGTCAAACTCATCGAGCCCGTCAATGAAAAGACAGATCTTGAACCGAGCAGATATCTCTTCAGCTGTCAACAGCCTATTGACGGCATTGTTGATCTGGGTATCTGATATGGTTGGTATCGGAGATTTCGCTAGCGACATTGCAGCGTACCTCCTTGGAGCCCAATGATCCGGAAAGAGTATACTGGTAAGCTCAGAATTGCCCCTGAGTATGTCATATATTATTCCTCTCAAGAGCCCGCGTGTAGTCTTTTGCTCTGCTGTTCCGATCTTCCAAAAAAAGAAACGCGAGCAAATGAGTTGCTTTGGTGACGGGCCTGAGGCGGCCCAAGACTCAAGACATTGTTGGGTTGTAGAATGTGTGGCCAAGTACTTCATCAGAGTTGACTTGCCAGCTCCAGGTTTGCCTGCAATGTGGTAAATACCCGAACCCGATCTTAACCAGTGGATAAACTCTTGGGAGGCGTTGACCCTGGCGGGATCATCGATGTCTGGCGAACTATCGCCACTCTCCACCCCCGACGGCCGCCCAAGCATCCAGGAGAATGTGGTACACGCTGGATCGGCAATCTCTTCGAAACGCTTATCAGCAGTAGCCGGCCTCAGGGCGCCCAAAATAGTCGCCTGATTCATCGACTCCAACGAGGCCTCGGACAAATATATTGCGTCTTTGATCATCTGCAATAGGTCCAACTTCTCGGTGAGCTTTGCAAGCTCTAATGACAGCGCATCCTTGACTGTTTGCAGGTTCGACTCGTTAACCAGCCTAGCAAGCCCTTCCAGTGGATCGAGCTTCTGACTGATGGCTTCCAGTTTTGTTATCAACTGTGGGCTACGTTGCTCGGAGGCTGCAAGCAGCTGTTTTATTACTGAAACATCGTTACTGAGTTGGAGAAGTTAGAGGACAGGTACCTGGCCGGCCGAAAGTGAAATCTAGCGTGTGAGCTTACTTGGTGGTAATTGCAAGTGCGGTTCTCAGTTGGCCCGTTGCCGATTCCAGCTCTTTCTGCAGATCCTGAAGCTCCGACTTGTGCTTTGTGTATTGGGCTTTGGCTTGCAGGGCACTGGCAACCGAAGATGGCTTGCGAGCTTTGCACAGGTCGAGCATGGCTCTTATTTCCTTGATCGTTGCAGAACACCGCTCCGATGCTAATCTCGCGGACGCGTCGAGCCTGGGGTTGGCAAGCTGGCCAAGTGCAGCATCGAACTGACTCATGGCAAGGAGCAGTTTGTCTGTTTGTTTGGTGAAACCCGAAGTCGACTTGTACAGGTCCCAAAGTGTTTTTCCAGTTTTGACAGCAATGTCAACCGTAGAGAGCACGTTGACTGCCAACGAAAAGGCTGATATCGGGTCCATATTTTCGGTCTTTGAATTGAGAGCAGCGCTCAACACGAGATTCGCTGCTTTGCTTGGGCGTCTTTGAGAACTTGAAGAAATCCGACCGAGTGCTGGTCACGATCAAGGTTGGACATGATTCGGGCAGGATGGAATTTTGGGCGGCAGCCACTGGGCAGGCAATGGGTGTTCACAGCCTCAGTTGGAGGCTGTGTGCCTGCACGTAGTACCTATGCTTGGCACGCTTACCTGCACTATACCGGACCTAGGTATGCAGATAACACAAGCCAACGGTTATTCTTGCTCGTTGATGTCACGATCGCATCGGTCCAATCACCTGTAACCGTTCTACGTGAGTTATTTGAAAGTCAATGTGCAAGCAATGTTAGCTACCTTACCTTACCCACTCGCTTCTATGCTAATCATAGTACAGTATATAGGCAGGTACTTCGTTTGCAGGGCTTAATTGAAGTTTATATGAAAGTTGGAGATTGTATATGGGGTAGGTATGTGCATCGGTAGGTGGTATTCAAGATCTGAAGTTATATCCTGCAAGTATCTCTGGGCCTGGATAGGTACCTACATATATATAAGCCTAGGTAAGGTAGTAGAAATCGATTCCATTGATGCTGACGTGCCCAATGCGGCTCTAGTACGCTAACACTTGTCAAAGTGAAGGTCCGCTCTTGCCGAGCAAACACCCATCAGGCGGTTCAGCTTGTTTTGATCTGATAGTGATCCAAATGGCAGCGGCGTAGATTTCTCACGGGCTGACAGCATGACCTACAATGGCGGCCCAGCCTCGCCAGTACCAATTTTCACCATGCCATAACCAGATGCCATGATATGATTCCAGCACCCAATCCCGCGAGACTATCACAGGCAACAGCCAAAGCAATGTACAAAAAAAAACACCATTCCACATTCCTCCTCCCCTACCCCTTAGCATGCCACCAAGACATAAACACCACCACAACCCCACCCAGAACTCATCCCACCACCCTTGACCTCCTTGATCACCACCAAAACAATGCCCAACATCCTCCCAATCTACCACCGAACCTGGGAAACCCTCCGCCCCTTGGGCAATCCCCTGGAAACCCCTCCCCAAAACCGCCTTCCACAACCCCCCAACCCCCAAACTCGACGATGACAATAACCTCGTCTCTTCCGACCTCCCCGAAGTCCGCCCCCTCGACCTCCTAGTCCCCTACCACCCAGAGCGTCAACTAGGCAAAGAAGTCATTGTCTATACTCCGTCTCCCCCTTCCTCACCCCCCGTTGAACACCCCCAAAACGGCAATCCTGAACCCCGGTGGCGCCGTCACCGTATTCTCCTCCTCGCAATAGCGATCATCCTCGCCGGTGGGATGATCACAGGGGGAATAGTAGCCGGTTTCATCGCTACACGCCCACCACAGCAACCGCAACAACAGCAGGGTGGGACTGTGAACGACAATAATGGCCAGTGAGTCGATAGTTTCTCCTTCTTCAGACGAGCATTTGTTGACAACAAACACAGATATATCCCCCCCGGCTTCTCCACCCTCCCCTACATCGTCACAAGATCCATCAAAACAATCGAAACAAGGACCCTAACGAAGATACGGACCAAGACGCAGACTCCCCGGACGAGAACTACATCTTCTGGCGTTGATGGAGTGGTTACGACTCCAGCTGCTGTTGCCAACGGGGAGAGTGCAATCCCGTCCCAGACAGGAGTGATGTAAACCATGCAGCCCCAAGTCGTCATCGCCATCCTCACAGACCATCAAAACTCATGCATACTCCAAAGTTCAAAGCGAATGTCATCATAGCCAATATATACATCTCAACCAACCGTCTTCAAACACGGTGGCCCCGACAGTCGTATATACATGCACAAGTTAGGCAGTCAAACTCATCCCATCCATCCCAACACATTCATCAGCCAGCGCCAGCCAGCCGCGTAGCACGGGCACTTCCCTCTTCTCTTCATTAAATTACAATTTTGCTCCAGGACGCAGTTCAAAAACCATACGTCATGAAACAGTGATATTAAATGCCCCCTCCCTCCCTCATCATCAAAACACCAAGCTCCGTTCGTGAGCAATCGTGGTCATGTGAAAAAGGCAGATTGGGCTCCAAACCGAAAAGAGTGCCGGTCGTAGGATAATGCTCCTGTCTATATGCCGAGCAAAGCCAGAAACAAACTTTTGGTCATTGTCGTAAAAAAGAAGCGGCTTGGAGGAAGAAAGCCAGTCATGGTAAGCGTTGCCCCAAGAAAACAATATTGGGGGGTTGCAATAGCTGTCATATTCCGTCATGGTGTTCGGACAGCTCCTTCAACGGTCAAAGCTGCTTCTCTGTTGCTGCTGCTTGGTCCTCCAGTCGTGTGCCTCTGCGATGCTTTCGATGCGTGGCATGCCGTCAGGCTTGGAGTTGGAGCCGAACCCGGGCATGCTACTCCACCGGTTGAGCTTCTTCTGAGCCTTGACGGGGTCGTCGACTGGGACTTGCTGGGCGCTGATGGTGGTGGTGTTGGACCTGCTGGTGTTGGCGCTGCTGGCTGTGCTGGATGAGGATCCGGTAGAGTTGGGGGACTGGTAGATGTATTCGCCGTCAACGTAGATTGCGTTGGAAACAAAAGTAGAACGGCGATGACGCCTGCGGGTGTAGCGCTGCTCGAGACGGAAGAGCTCAATTTTGGCCTGGATTTTCTCGATGAAGCCCATTGTGTACGCTGATGGTGGTATGTACAGTGGTATGCAGTTGGTGGGTTTGTGGAAAGTAGGTGTAGGACTCGAGATGGTACTCGGAAGACTCGGTAAAGATGGTTGGTTGTTGGATTTGACGTGCGAGTTTGGGGCGTTTTGCCAAAGATCAATGTTTCGGGTACTCGAGGATCAGCGGCTGGAAGATTGCTTTTTCGGCTCGGGTGAGACAAGTCAGATCGGGTGCTTTCGCGTGGTGGTGGTGGTGGTGGTGGTAGTTGTGGGTGGGTGTGTCGAGGGACGGAAAGACTGGATGAACAGTCTGGGGATTAAAGAATGGCAAGCGAACAGCAACGTGATCGCAGTTTATCCAATGTGTCGGATCAGAGAAAGTCGTGGGGTCGACAAGACGGAAACGAGAACGAGAGATTGGGTTGGGTTGGGGGGTGGTTGAAGAGAGAGAGAGAGAGAGAGAGAGAGAGAGAGAGAGACGAGAGAAGCGGAAGAAACGATGTGACGGGAACATCGCGTGGAGCAGGCCAATCCGCGCCATTCCGAACATGGTGAAGGCTGGCTTCTGTTCTCCACATGCAATTAATCCATCCTCGCGGGGGAATTTTTATGCAGCTCCGCACCACCGCACTGTGCTCCGTGTCCCTGGCGATCACAGATAAAGACGCATGTTCCCAAGCCAGTCTTGACCCCTCTGGGCAAGTCCAGCCTGCCGAGGCTGCTAGCGACGCAGGGGCACAGATGTGAAGGACTGTCAGTGGGACGCTGCCACGACGGAAGGACGGCAGTGCTTTTTCTCGACTGCTGAGAAGTTTTCTCGAGCTGCAGAAGGAGCGAAGAAAAGAGGGGTTATCGAACTGGCAGTGGCTCGGGGGTTTCAACATTGGGATGGCGGGTGCCAGACGGTTGACATTTCCCCCCGCACTTGACCCCCCAAGCACCCCCCCCAAGCCACTCAGCAACAATAAGCCCGGCCACCCGACCTCGTACCTTAACGAATGTCACCAAAAACGCCATTCACCCGGTTTCGCCGTTCCAATGCCTCGACGTAACATGTCAGAAAGTTAATGCAGTCAATCGACATATTCGTTCCACGATTTCGTCTTTCAATCATTGACTGTTCCTCAGCAGCTGTCGCGTGTCGGTCGTCAAATGACGAAATGCCCAAGCTTCTCTGGGCAGCCCTCCTGGCCCCCTGCATCCCACGTGTCACGCTACCAGTCTTGGGCCACAACGCTCGGGACCGCGAATCCACAGCGGCCATCACCAATGAAAGGCCCAGTAAGGCCTCCAGCCGAAATGATATCGAACTCGACGGCGCCGCTCTTGGACATCAATGGTTCCCAACATCCGTTGTGGCAGCGGGATGGATCATAACAGCTGCCGTTATCATCGTTCAAGTGTGGTACGGCGCGGTAGGTTAAAGCCACAGAACGACGCATTTATCATGAGACCAGAATTCGTTTTTACTAGATGATCCTCACAGCAATACCGTCCGCAGATTTGTCGCCGCGGACTGGAGCGTGTGGAAGATCCACCACTGGGTTGCCCTCACACCGGAATCTACTCATCTGGCCATCTTCTGATAAACTACTGCCTTGGAATCCCGATTTCCCAGGGCAGGTCACCTGGGTGAGCCCGCCCCATGAACGCTAATAACAGAGAAATAGTGCCGCTATATAAAAACATGAGCCCCAAGGCGGATGTAACAGCAGCGCCAACTTCTTGAAGACCCCATCTGCCGGATGGTGGCGGGGAAAGTACCAGACCGATTCCTGTTACCAACGCTATCATGAACATCAGCATGAACACGGCGCCCAATGTTAGGGCATCTTTCCACGTCATGGAAGAAGAAGGTCGATGCTGATCTGGTATGTTGCCGTCTTGCAATTGCTTGTACCACTTGTTAAGCTTTTTGTGGATATCTTTGCATCGGAGACGTCGCCGGGTATCCTTGGGGAGCTTGCCGTTGCTCTGGACTGGCGGCTCAACAACCAACATGTCCTTTTCGATCATGTTCAAAAGGTTGTGGACGTAGTTGGTGCAGCTGGGGTGGCCGTGTAAGCCGCGTATGAACTATATCTGTGTCTTTAGTGTTGGTTTCCAAAGTCAAAGCGGAGTGCTGGACTTGTGGTGGCTAACCTGGGTTACGGACGGTTTGACTTGGAAAGGCAGCTGAGAAGACGATGGGCGGCTCCCTCGGGCGCGTCGTGTCGAGTTATAGTACGCAGCTTGATAGTCGCCGTCGTGTTTCCGATTCTTTTCGAACTCGCGGAGCAAGCGGATTCCGCCCATATACCAGGTGATGAACATCTGGGCTCTTAGTTGCATTATACTCGAATTCTTAATATGGTTGCTTTATGGGTGGCAGGAACTGGCCGAGTTTCATCAACAAATTCGGGACAAACAAAGACTTCCATCGCCCTTCTATGAGGAAGACACTGTGGAGCTTGGAAAAAGGAAGGCCAAGGTTCACGGAAGAGTAGTGGAGTGGATGGGCAAACTCAGTCGCCATCCGCTTTGCCAGGAAGGCACTGCCATGAGGGATATGCTGGAACTCGTGAGGACTCGGTTGTTGGTCGTTCGACTACCAGTTAATATCGGTCGACTTGGAGATGGCCCTACCCCCGACTCTGTCCGTTTGTCCCGTCGAAACACAATCGAAAACATGCGCGAGGCCAGAGAAACTTCGCAACAGGCAGTCTCGCCACCCATACCAGCAGCACCCACTTTTGCTGACGAGCCAACATCACACGACGAAACTCGCGAAGCTGTGGTAGTTCCTGATATTGTTGTTGACACTGCTGATAATAAAGAAAACTCTGCTCAGACTCCTGTCAAGCAAGGAGACCCCGAGCAGCATTTGTGCCGTGCAAAAGCTTTCGAGGTGACCGAAAAGCTTCAAGTCATTCTAGATCACAAGGATGAGAGCTACTGGCTTCCCTCCCATTCCTCTCCGCAGTCAATCGCTGTTCAGCCTCCCGACCCCCTCAGCCAGGGCAATGAGAGAGAAGCATCAGATGCATACGAGACTTTTTCAAGCATTGGATCATCCACCATTGACTCTACTGCAACTAGGGCTTTCGATTCAGGTACGTCTACTCATGTAGACTCCGGTCAATCAACCAGTAGTCCAACCAGCAAAAAGGGAAGGGACGCCAAGCTTCTTGCACCACAAGTGCCACAACGTAAGTCTTGCTGAGAGGCCATGATAATGAAAGAGCCATCTAACAAGCATTCAATGAGATGGCTGATTATGTGTGATCAATCTGCATATTATGAAACACGCAACCCTTTCTGATACAGTCATTACATAGTTCCAAGTTGTGAGTAAACCTCGGTTTCTTCATGTCCTAGTTCATCAAAGGTTGGCACTGACAGGCCGAAATTAGTACGTGAGTTCGTTGTAATGCCTCTTCAAAAAACCTTTTACTGGTTGTTTTATCGTTCTAGACTGATCATAGACAATGGTGAATGCACATGAAGGCTGTGAGCCCTCTACCTCAGTTATAAGCCCAAGGCGTTTCGTGCTAACTCGTGGCAGCATGTAAGTTGATCTATCGTCTGTTCGTTGATATTACTCGAGACAATGCTAATTGCTTTATTTGACACCACCTTCAGCCAGTAAGCAGTCTTTGGTCTGGCCTCTAATGAGAACATGGTATTAATCTAAGATTATTAGGAGGCAAGTCAGTTTCTCAGAATGGCACGGTCCAGCCTTTCTGACAGTGTGCAGCTTGGTGACCGTTGGACCCTTCACATCGACAACCAGTTTCCCCTCAACGTTGCCTTGACCATTCAGGGTCACAACCTTCCTCATCCTGGAGGAAGACTACAGCTTGATCGTCTCTGTGTCAGCTGCCAGTCAAGACAGTTATGGAAGGTTGGGTTCAGCTTCACTGTGAGTGTGAAATCACTCGAGGCGCAGGCAGCTCGCAAAGCATGTGACATGTGCTGCCTCCTTTGGAAAGCTTGCTCGAAGGCAGGAGGCACAAACTTCCAGACGTCAACTTTCACAAGGGTTGGGTCAGGCCTAACTCTGAACTCGGGTAATGTTCATGTCTTATCAATTTGTCAAGAACCAAGTGAGTATTCCGCCACCACTGCAAAAAGATCGCACTTATCTCCCCCCCCCACCTTTTGCGACGTTGTTAACATCAAGCTGACCATATCAGTTGTTCACAGAGCCGTTGACTACTTCAGTGATATCCAGATTGGGTACCCTTGTCTTCAAAAGGCAGGAAGCGATGTTCACTTCAAGATCATGAATCAGTGGCTAGACCTGTGTGATTCAACACATTATCACATGGGTGATGCAGCGTCAACAAAGCCTGACCTTCCCACAAGACTGATTGATGTTGGCCACCCTGACAATGAGTCTGTTAGGCTACGGGAGACACAGGCGGGAGATTATATCCGATACATTGCTCTTTCTCATCCTTGGGGAGATCTTCCACACTTCTGCACGTACCGCAGCAATCTGAAGGCCCACATGGAAAGCATAAAGGTCAGTGATCTTCCGGCAACCTTCCGAGATGCCGTCGTGTCTACACGCGCCCTCGGGCTTCAGTATTTATGGATCGATCCCATCTGCATAATACAAGGACCAGACGGAGACTTTATCTCTGAAGCCAAGCGGATGGAACAAGTTTTCAGTTCGGCATACTGTGCTCTTGCCGCCAGCTGCACCATTGGCCAGTCGGACGGATTCCTGAAGCCACGACGCCCGAGAGACTACGTACAGCTCCCATCGCAAGAAAACAACAGACCTCCGCTGTATCTCTGTGACCAGATCGACGACTTCAACAGCCATGTGCTGCAAGAACCTCCCAGCACCCGCGGTTGGGTCCTCCAAGAACATGCCCTTGCCCGCCGCACAATTTTCTTCACGGAGCACCAGACATACTTTGAATGTGGGAAGGGTGTGCATTGCGAGACCATGATACGCATGTCAAAGTAAGATACAATATCCATCCCTTGTTTTTTCTTCTTTTTTTTTTTGGCATATCCACAGAGCAACAGGCTGGCTGATCAGACTTCAAGCTCCCTCGCCGACCTCATAGGCGACACCAACTTCCCCCAGCTCATCATGAGAGCCTCCAAAGGCGAGCGTATCCTCCGCTATCAAGACTTTTACAGAAAGTAGTCCCGCCTCAATTTTACGCGGCCTTCAACCGCCCCATCGCCCTCGACGGTCTGCAGAGCAGGCTGCTCAAGGCTTTCGGGACCAGAGGCGGCTTCGGCATATTCGACGAGGGAGACCTTCACGGCCATCTCCGGCGCAGCTTACTCTGGCACCGTGCCGCGGATGAGCCGACCATGCAGAGGATTGACTTCCCTGCCAGCCGTCTGGTGGTTCCAGAGACGGCCGTTATGCTCCCCCCAACGTGGTCCTGGATGGCGTACACAGGGGCCATTGATTATTTTGATTTGGAGTTTGGAGGGGTCGAGTGGGTGGACGGTGTTAGTTCGCCATGGACCAGTGTCAGCGATAAAGCTCTTGCTGCTCGTGGTCCCCTGAGACTGCGCGGGAAGGCGAGGAGGTTCAGGATTGACGATGGTATACTTTCAGAGAAGAAGGCAGTGGTCGTTCTTGACATCCCAGACGAGCCAAAGCAGCAGGAACAACGCGTGATGGTTTTGGGGAGAGATCAACTGGATGTGGGGGGCTCTAGACTGTTGGCATCTGGTGGTAGCGATCTTGGGTCGCGTAGGAATTATGTCCTTTTCATTGGCAAAAAATCATTGGCAGACAGGGGAGTCAAGGGTGACCATGCTCAGGGATCTAGGTGGATCAGATTGGGGCTGGGTATCTGCCGGAAAGATGTATCTCCCAGGATTGGGTGTTGGTTCATACTTACTAAGGGTAATGTCGTCTAGGTGGTGTGCAAATGAGATTCTTCCAACATCAAATTTCTATAAGGTCACACGACATGAACCCAACATTTCGGTATGCCTAGTACCTAAGGTACCTGATATCTTCAAGGCGGCCTCCCACCCCAAATGCAATTGTCGCAGTGTGTTGGCACCACACACTGTCTGGAAAGCACTAAGTGACTGTTTTGTTCGTGACTGGAGCACACTCGACGGCTAGTCTCGTGGTTCAGTAGGTAAGATCGGGTTGCATAAATAGGGAACACCCGCTGAACAATTTGTGTGGCCGAGAATGCCCCGCACTTATCGCTTTTCACTTCATTCTTCTCCCGCCCAGTCCTGTCAGAACACAGACAACCTTTTGCATCACTTTCCAGACAGTCTGATCGATCTACACAATCACCACACCCCAGCTATTCTCAACGATGGATGTCGAAGCGCTGCTGCGAAAGAGATCTTCCGAGGTGTCGATCGAAGTGTTTGATCCTGATCACTATCACTTGCTCGTCAAGGCTATCCAGAACATCCTTTCAACAGAGCTGGCTGAGTTGAGCATCGCGCAGCTGATTGATGGCGTTCCTTTGATGATGTGGGTCTTTGAAGGCCGCGGATGTCTACTCGAGAAAGGCCACCCATTGCTTGAACAGGAGAATCTCTGTGAGGGTGCCCTTGATCAAGCGCGGTTATTTCGCGACGCATTTGACCCAGCCATCCTTCAGTTTTCCTCAAAGATAAACCTATATAATCATGAAGCAGCATCCTACTTTGTGGTACACTCTAACTCACCCACCGGGCAGATCATGCAAGCATATCAGAATTCTGAGATGGGGTCACGGGAGTTCAAGATGAGGTTGGTCGAACTGACCGCCGTCGCGGTACACAACCTAGCGGTTCTTGTATATCAAGGACATCCAAAGCTCCACAGCCAGGAGGAAATCGACAAAACTGTATCCTGGACAGTTCCGCCTCGATGGATAGAGGACGATAGACTTAAACCGCGCTGGGAGAAAGTCATTGAACCCCACCCAACGCTCTTCTATCATGTTGATTATCTCGATCATGACCGCTACACCCATGGTCTTGCCGATGTAGTTGGCTACTGGGCAGAGGATCGCAATTTTGGCGGTGTCGTTCTGTTTGACAAAGGCGACTATCCAGAGTTACAGGAGGCTTTTGATGAACTCACAAACTATGAATCTGAGGAATCCTTCGTCGTCACTCTAGAGTATGACGAAAGGGGCTTGCCAATTGTCACCAAGAGCCCTAGGGACCCGGGGGCTTCAGAAGACAACATGTCCCAGGCATCAAGTGGCAAGCGTAGGATACTTGAAGATGGATCTGGAAAAACACCGCCGGCGCCCTCTGAATTACTCTTAGGCTCGCCGCCTTCACTAGGCTCACCACCCCCTTTGGACTCTCCGCCGCCCCTTAGCTCACCTCGTCTTCGCTCGGCAGAACCACTGGAACTATCATCTTCACCCGACGCAAGTAAGCAAGAAACACCTCTACCATAAGGTGCTACGAAGTCGCCAGCAAAGCCTGTTCCGCAGTCACCGATCTCACTCAAGCTAGCAGGAGAAGCACCAGGCTCAGAGAGCGTCTCGCTCCATGACAAGGATGCCACTGCAAATGTTGACATTGAGTCCAAGGAATAATGACAGAGTCAGATATTGTGGGCGCTGGGTATTTCAAGAGCTCTGAGGGGACCAGGCTGACGGATGCAACTAATTCTAAGGACTAGAAAGGCTTTATATGCCAATCAAACAGATATTCAGATACAAGCGCCAAGCATCTTCCACATGTGATTCAACCTGCAATTCAAGACCTGTAAGCATTATCCAAGAGCTCTCCTGTACAACCAAACGCTCGGACCAAATGCTTCCCTGTGTACCTAGCTAGGTATCTCGTTCATTGTTTTCAGAATCAAGTCTCGCAAGTCTGCTCTCCACAGTCAGGGTCGGCGTCATCAATGCCCTCACGGGGGCCCTGGAACTCTTTCTGGCAGATCAGAGACCAATACACCTCCTATCATCAACGTTAGTGCCTGACTAACAAGCTTCTCGACTAAGAGATTGAAACTTACCGCAGCATAATACGCGTAACTGTCAGCATTGACCCGAGCCAAGTCTTTCGGCAACCGATCATAAACGGCAACCGGGCCATAGCCAGGTTCACCGTCAGGATTGTCAACAATAGATCCAAAGGAAGACTGGATCATGAGGTCATAGTGGAGGTACTCATGGAGGAGTGTCATTCCGAGGGTGTTAAAATGCTGTAATGAGTTAAGTCAATAAAAGCTGATCATGATGAACACCAAGAGGGAGACACTTACAAAGCTGACATTATCCGCAATATCCCCCCCATCCTCAGCACAAGCAGCATAGAAGTCCCTCGCATCCTCATCCCCACGGTCTTTCCCCTCAAGATCACCAATAGCCTTCTTGTTGAAAGCACGAGGGCAAACCACGATAAAAGGCTGCTCAGTATTGTAGTCACCCGAGTACGCCAGTCCACGATCACCGCAGGCATTGTCAAGATCGGTAGTTTGCACGAGGAAGTTCCCCAGCATGTCATGACCTTCGCCGTCATTGTTAAGGTCTCTGAAGATTCGGGTAATTTCCTCACGGTCTGCCGGGTCAAAGTAGTGGGGATAGATTGTCTCGTCGGTTTCAATGAAGGACAAGACGGCAGAGGTCAACTCGATGGCGTCTTTGAAGGCGGTTTCGACTTTGTTGAGACGGTTGGGGACGGGCTCTTCGTCTTCGGGGAAGTCTTCTCCTGTGTTGGGCTCAGCCCGCTTGGAGAGGGCTCTGATGCCGGGCTTGGGGGTGGAGGGTAGGACGCTGGCGTGCGCCAGGGACAGGCTTGAAGCCAGAAAGAGGGTGCGGATGAGGTGCATGGTTTTTGGTCAGTGCTGAAGAGCTGGATGAGGGGAGGATGTGAAGGACTGTGTGAATGCATCGTCTGCTTTGACTGGCGGTGGAGAGAAGTTATATGCACTTCTTCTCACCGACATTATCGATATAGAATACCCGTCTCTCGGCCGGACATTGACAAGGCTGATGATCAGACAGAGACTCCTCTTGTCTGGTTCTGTATGACATGCTGAAACAGGCTTCGGCCATGGCGGATGTCAGCTTGCTGGGTGAACCTCATGGTTCTTGCTGACTGCGCCGCGTCTCGTGGCATGAGTTGAAGTGGCATTTGTTGGTGGCCATTGTGGTTGCTCATCTTCGTATTGGATGTCTCTGTCCAGGAGGAAGCTGTGGCGACGTCATGAAGTGAGCTTTCTGAAGCTTTGGATAACTGGTCCGGTGAGATTACTGGGATGGAAACCTGTATTCGATTCCACAAAATGCGGGGTCTACCTAGTGGGTGCATAAACCGTGCCACGCAAACCGTTTCTTTCTTTTTTCTCCTTCCTTTTACGCTGTGCCGATGACCCGAGTATTTGAGTCTCACCGACGGCATTTTCTTTTGATCAGCTGAGTATTCTGAGCAACTCAACACTTTCAGCTTTCACATCTATCCTTCTCAGCCCAGATCAAACAACTAGCGGCTTTTGACCTATCTTACCTAAACCGACTTACTGCGTCACAATCATCAACCTTCATCGTCTTCAACTCTTTAACCCAACTGCAACACCACCCAACGACACAACACACCAGCAACCATGTCCACCACAACCCCCACCACCACCAGCCCTCCCGCCAAAATCCACATCACCATAACCATCACCCCAGAAACCCACTCCTTCACCACCAACCCCCTCCCCCCCCTCCTAACCCTCTCCCTCCTCTCCCACCACCCCACCCCGATAACCCTCTGCACCTTCAACCGCCCCTTGGCCCTACCCTCCGCCCTAACAAACCGCACAATAACAATCCACTCCCTCCCCTCCCGCCAAAAAATCGAAACCTGTCTTTTTCAAGTCAACCGTTCCCCCGTAACCCGCATCAGAGGCGATTCAGACGAGCAGTTCTACCTCACTTTACTCCCTAACACTCCCACCACAATCTCAACCCCCTTTGGGAGAGGTGGAGGGGTGAATAATATCCGGCCTGTGCCAAAGGCCATCGCGGAGAAGGGGTGGGAGGTGGATGAGGAAGGAAGGGAGAGGAGGGTAAGGAGGTCGGTGCAGCCTACTGGTGTTGATGGGTTGGAGCCGGGGTTGGAGTATGAAGTTGGTTTGGATAGGGAGAGCTTAGAGGGGATGTGGTGGGCGCCGGTGGGGAGGGAGGAGATTTTGGTTGAAGGGGGAACGACGGAGGGGAGGTATATGGGGGATTATGGGGGGTGGGTGAAGGGTGGGGTTGAGTGGGTTGTTGAGGGGGGGAGGGTGAAGGTGGAGGAGTAGAGGGGACTTTAGGTCTTGGATTCCCATGGGTTTGGGGGTTTCCGTGATACGGTATCATGAATTCAAACATGCGTTTCTTTTTGTATTGGCAGGGCCACTGCTCAGTGTATCCTGTGTTGTTTCGGCCTTTTCATTCTTTTCCTTTTAATTGTGGGTTTATCATGAGGATTATGAATTCATGTTTGAAAGGTGGGGATAATCCTGGAACTCAGATAGGAGAACAGGCTGTGGACAGTAGAATAGAGACTGTGACAAAGTATCAAACGCTACAGCGAGAGATACCTCTAACGTACCTCTCGACTGAGGCTCAAACTTCCGAACTGCCGTAGCTTACCTATCTTCAAAAACCAAGGTATTGAAAGCCTTTTTGAATCCTTGAAGGCTTGTGAGGTATCTTTAGAGGGCTCCTTCCCAACTGCAGTCTCCGTTTCTTCACCACGGTGTTTAGGGTTAGCCAGGGTAGCTCATGTTCTCCAACGAGACCACACGTCCGATAAGCTTCCCTCAATCATTTAAACACGTGATGAAACAATAACTGTGGCTGCTTTGCCAATTACAAAAGCTTTACAGCCACTCAACTATCGTTAGGTAGCAGTGACTGACAAACCCCGCAAAGGGTCGGAGAGGTCTTTGGACTTCAAGACATACCCTTTCATCTACAGGCCGTCATGTCTTTTCAAAGGGCCAATGTTGCAGCCAAATCATCGACCTGAAGCCCCATTCCGTTTTAAATTCCTTCAAATTTGCGATAGTTGCCGTCGTCTCCTCGAGGAGACAAGGTCTTCCACCGCAGGTCCAGTCTTATCGATTGAATTTGCATATACTGACGTACATTAGGAACCCATCTCGAATCAACCCCGTCAACATGCTGTCTAACCCTTCGTGCAAGATTTGCGGGAAAATTTTGGAGGTAGTCTCGTTTTACCTGAAAAGCCAACACGAAAGAGATGAGTGGTTCATACCTAACCACAGATAGTAAGGAGATACCCATCTGCACTTTAAGGGGCAGGATGATAGTTCTTGCGAATACTCTTGGCCTTTTAATTTCAGTAGAATTCAGTTGCTGACTACCATCCCATGATAGTATAAAATCAGTGGATTTGGGCACCTATGGCCATCTAGTTTCGGATTCGGGGTGCGAAGCTCACTAGGCTTTCTTCAACTCCGAGTATATAACGCGTCAGAGGCTTGGGCACTCGGCAACGGTGTCCTTGAATGCATTCGCCCGTCCAGCCTGGAAACGGATGAATTTCCTAGCCCTCGAGTTTGACGACACAAAAGAAAATCGGGGATCAACAGAGGCAAGTCTGGCATGCTTATGAAAAGGCCGACTAGACGGCGTGACAAGTCTCGATCGCAAAGATATCAACCTCGACCAGGTGAACTCTTGGAAGCATGGCTGCGAAAGAGCCCACGGTGGAAAGTGCTTGATCAAGGGTGACCCTCCCCAGTCCATGGCGTGGCTTATTGACGCAAAGAAGCAATGCCTGGTACCAGCAAAGGCCGAACTACAGTATGTTGCGTTGAGCTATGTGTGGGGACAGGCAGCGATGCTCAGGACAGAGCGCGCCAATTTGTTGGCTCACCAAAACGACCGTGTATTTGATCGATTAAGAGTAATGATGCCTGCGACTATCAACGATGCTATTGGTCTGGTCCCTTTGATAGGCGAGAGATATATATGGGTCGCTTTGCATCGTTCATGAAGAAGGCTCAAAACATACGCGAATTCGGGATATGGCCAAGATATATGAGAACACTCGACTTACTATTGTAGCTGGCGATGGCCTAGATGCCGACCATGGCTTGCGCGGTATTCCCAACGTTTCTCAGCCTCGACAGTTGCACCCCGAACTAGAACTCAGCGACACCATCTCCGTGCGTGCCCCACAAAATCTTGCACTGGAAGAAACCACATGGGCACGCCGTGGTTGGACGTGGCAGGAACTCCAGTTTTCACAGCGACGGTTAACATTTGTTGACGGGTCTGTTCGGTGGAGGTGTGCAGAATCCTTTTTCTGTGAGGACGATGTCTTCCCTGCGCGTGATTACAGGAAGACAACCGAGTCGATAGGAGACCTGAATGAACCCAATCTAGATAACGTCTGCCGGAGTAGGGTGGGTGTGGGAGCAGCAAGTCTGACCGACCTGGGAAAGGACATTTCGACATTTAATCAACGCTCATTGACATACGACGAAGACGCTTTGCTTGCTTTCGAGGGAACCCTAGCGATCTATATTGAACATCAGTTTCCACGCGGCTTTCTTCATGGCATTCCTGTATCATTGTTGGACTCTGCGCTACTGAGGCACACTCAGACAACCGTACCGTTCGCTGAAGTACGGCAAGCATCCAGTCACTCCCGGGAGTGTCCACCTCGTTGGGGTTGGTCTGGCTGGAAGGGTAAAATTTTGCAGTGTTGGGAAGGGGGTCTCCTCGGGCAGGACAACGTTCGACCTCCACAACAAACCATATCCATCCTCACATGGAAACTACGTTGCTCCGTCACTTCTACCCCTGTCAAAATTCCCTTTCAAAATGACTAGTACAGTTAGAAAACAGAATACATGGGTAACATTAGCAACCTCCCGCAAGGTTGGAGGGTTGCTCAATATCGAAAGTTCCTTGTCCGACCAAATCAAATAGAGCTTAGTGCAGAGGCCAACCTACTACGCCGACTCTTTTTCCAAAAGAGCAACGCCTATGTCCGAAATGAAGCTTCCTATCAGAACTTAGATGGGGCGAGTGTCGAGCAGATTGGTTATATCCCTGGAGTTGGCTTACCGACCACTTTTCTTTGTCATCCCGTCCCCTATGGAAGACACCTTGAATCGTCTGTAGCACAAATGCCGCAGCCTATAGGGAGATACCTTTGTGCCTTGACACAACAGGGGCGTCTTTGGGGTGACGAGGAGCGCATATTGATGCCAGAAGAGCTTGGGAGCACAGAAGAGCCATTCGACCTATATTAAGTGTTTCTCGAGCTCCCCCTTGTACTTCGAAACTCTGAAGACCAAGAAGTGGACGAAATTCGACCGCATAGCAAAGAGGATAACGCATTGCTGAACTCCTGGAGGAAGGAGAAGAAGGACGGGGATGAGACCATAGGCTACCCGTGTGACAATGTGGCGATCTCACGTGGTTACGATGGTGATTCTCCGTTGATTGACGATAAGGACATCTACACCTTCTATAACGTTCTCTGGGTGGAGTGGATCGATGGGGTGGCATATCGACGGGGTGTGGGCCACGTGATCAGAACAGCATGGGAAAGTATGGAGAAGGATGCGGAGCTTATTCTTGGGTAGCAGAGGCCACTCGGGAACTGAAGTCTGTCTGTATCTTTCTCTGTCATTATCATTTGTTTGACATCAAGTACGCGATTGGAAGACTGGATACAAATGCGATTTCAGCATGTCTGCAGGTTGATTAGTAGGTAGAAACGTCAGGCTGCAGGAAGATAGCTCATGCCAGCTGAACACTCCCATCTACACGATTCTTTCCCTCAGAATCCCTGCCTCGCAACCTGAGCCTGAGCAGCAGCAATGGTCCCCTGAGCATTCGGATCAACAAAGCCACATCCATTCTTCCCATTTTGGAACTGAGCAGCCTCAGCAGAGCAGACCCCCACGCCACTCGCATCAGCGCAACACCCTGAAGCGCAGTCGGCATTGTTGACGCAGCCCCCAGTGATGAACTGCGAGCCGTTTCCCTGCCCAACATTTCTCGCACCGGCATTGTTGGGTGTGATTTGTGCCATGGCAGTGACGACGACTAAGACCTCGTTAGTAAAAGTCAAAGTCCTGTGGAAGGCATGTCACCTACAAGCCAGGAGCGCAGTTACAGTGATGCGGACCATCTTGGAAGCGGTGTTAAAAGTTGGATAAAAGGCTCACAGAGCTGATGCCGACACCAGGTCGTTTGATGAAGTGAATCGGATGTAGAGATGGGATGATGGAAGCATGAATGATATAACTCCATTTCCCCGGATTTGCGACGCTTTATGTAGTCGATGTTTATTGCACTTCTTCACTTAGAGGAAGACAATCACTTCCCATCTGAAAGGCCAGGAACGATGCGACTGTCACTGCTGCAGATCATACTATCGTCCGGACAGTTGTGTCAACAGTGCTCACAATGCGATCAAGTAATACCGCCGATCTAGTACCTACCGAGTCAACAAACCATTGCCGTCCGAAATGCCTTGGTGTTGTGGTAGTAAGCGGTGACAGGTGTGGTTTGATCATCCCAGCCCCTGAATCGGCAATAGGGGTAAAATGCTTGGCATTGATGGTTTGACAGCGCACATCATTTATGCATGGGGGCTTTGATTATGTGGAAGTCACTGATCGGTTCGGATGCTTTCGTCCTGAACACATTCCTCTTTTGGTGCTTAAAGTGAAAAGGAAGGTATTGCCGATGGCAAAGTTTTGTCAGCGTCTCCTCGGAAGTATGGGTTTGCTTTATCCTCAAGATCAATGTCTGAGAAAAACCCAGCTCAACAAACTGCCTTGTTCAGACCTTGATGTGTCGACCTCTTCAAGCTTCGACGCCAATAATTCACAGAGACCACCGCCCCAACTCTATATCAGCCATCCAGCCCTATGGATCAAAGGATCAAGCCTGCAGAAGCCACAGGGTTGTAAGCCAACAGCAGCCTTTGCCTAACCGCTCGCCCCGAATAAATAAGATGGAACTGCGCATGTACAAGTCCCAAGGCAATCGGTTGCCCTAAATCCCGTGCCATAGATGAGTCCTTACCAGTCAGTCAGGTCAGCTAGTGAGCATCACCTCGAAGCTAACGCCATCAACCGCCCAACAACGCCAGGTACAGCACCTTGCATCAAGATCCTGCCGAGGTGCCACACCACATCCCAAAAACATCTCTCATCTGTTGAAGTACTGATCATGCTAATGAATCACACTTCCATTCACCTTCATTCTCCAATGTCTTGTTCAAAACCCACTTACCACTCTCTGGGTATGTGATTGAACTACTCAAGAGAATATCTACTCATCTAGACCCAATATCACCCCTAACAAACCAGAATAGCTCCTCACCACTCAAGGCTTCCACACAAATGCATGCACCCAACCGCCACAAGCCACCCAACCACCGCCCTGACTCTCCCTCCCCATCGCCGCGAATACCCACTTCATAAATTTGCATAACGGCAACAAGCCACAAACTATCTTATCATAAGCGCTAGAGAATGCTGTGCTCTCCTCCCTGCCGTTGGAAAAAAGCCCGCATAAGTATCTTCCAGCGAGCGAGCCGCTGTATGCTGTGTAGCCAGCCGTGCCTCGGTCAACGACTCATCTACCACTCTTGAGGCGGTTGGAATGAAGGCAAAATATATTGCTGTCGGTGAAGCTTTGGTCTATGCGGCTGAGGGCGGCTGTATGCAGGGTACATTCCAGAGTCCAGAGGAGTTAGGCTGCGCGAAGGGAAGTTGCTTTTTATTCAAGGTGTCTTGGCTTTGATGCAGAAAAAATTCACCCATATACAGTAGTCTCAAAGGCGCTACCGATAATCTTTACTCATTCTCTTTGACAAGATCATTTCGACTGCACACTCACCATTGTACCAAAATCCAGACTACACCACCATCAAACATTGGTTGGCCCGCCCGGCTAGCTCAATCGGTAGAGCGTGAGACTCTTAAGGGGTACTCCGAAATCTCAAGGTTGTGGGTTCGACCCCCACGTCGGGCTCAATTCCCGTCTTCGACAATTTTTCTTTTTTCTTTTTCCCCCTTCCTTCCTCAACCAACCCTTTTCTTACCCCTTGAGAGCTGATGGTTGCCAGGTGAGCATCTTCTCCTTGGCCATCATCAACACAGCGTCAGCACTGGAATGCGGGCACTGTCCAATGTCTTGCTTATTAATAGCATCCCGGCAGGCAAGACGATGATGGCACGTGCGAGCCTAGTTGTAACCCCATATTCTTCTTTTTTTGGTGGTCGGAGACAAGAAAACTGGCTGCCCCGCTTTGAATCAGCACCCGTCGGAATTAAACGAGGGGCAAAAGAGACGATATCAACAACAGCAGCAGCAAATATGATAGATATTGTATACTGATTGAATGAGAGATATTATCATCACGATAAATTTTGTCATATTCTCCCCGCGCATGAGGACGACTTACCCAATAAAGTAACACGGGATCGAGAGCGGCGAACGCAGGAGCAAATATATGGGCCAAGACTGACGGGATGGTGGATGGCAATATATATCCCACTCCTCAGTTATCACCACCTTCCCTGAACACTTTGAGGGGGTGTTGCTTATCGAAGTAAGGAACCATGCTGTGTGCTCGCTAACCTGCCCTGCACCAAGCATCGAGCGTCGTATGCATGGAACGTTTCCATAGCGTCACTAGTAGCATAACGCAAGGGCGGTTGGTCATGTCCAATGCCTTCTCCGTATCGTATTCCCTTCCCTTAAGAGAATCTGAGGGAAAAAGAAAAGGAAGATCTGTGCTTACTGCAACCTTCCGTGCAAGGGAGATCCAAAAGTCCCGTCATGAGAACACACTCTCACCAGGCTCCGGGCACCGTAAGTGAGTGAGAAAACGTACGTAACCTCCTCTCCTCTGAGTGGTTGCGTTCCCATCAGTCAGGAATCACTCGGATTCGGCCAACGAGCCGAAAGAGAGGAATCGGGCTCAGGTACCGCCATGGCTTGCCGCCACCACCTGCAGCATGGAAGTGCTTGCATATTTCGAAACCTCCAAGCTGATCCTCAACGAGCGGCTCTACAACCTCAGGATAACGAATGATACACGTGTATCTACACGACAAGCGGCAGTTGGAGTGGATTGTCGTCGGAAGCAGGCAGAGGGCTAATTCAGGAACACAGGCACAGGGGCCAAAAAACACCATAGCACTTCTTTAGCAATATGCGGCCCGTCTCTTGACATGGCACGCATGGCATGGCAGATGTCCATTTTTGTCATGGGTCAGGTGTCGTGGCATTCAGGGACTCGGACGGGTACGGAGTCCATGGACCGAACAACGAGAAGGGGTTTGTCGGGTTGTTCACTGTTTGGTCGGCGGACCTACTCCGTATGCGCCCCACCAATAGCGCCATGTCAACTTTTTGAGAGTGTCGAGCTGGCATGTGGCGAGTGTGCGATGTGTTATCATGTCCTCGGGTTCGGCCAAGTTGTGAATCCTCCGGAATGGAAACGTCGGGGAATACTTTGGTCTGACCACCGCCGAGAACTGATCATATCTTACAGGTTGTTGTTAGCATTCGGTCGGTCGGCATATCGACGCCTGGGATTGTTGACTGGTCATACGTGAGCAGTCGAATTGCGCACAAAGTATTGTTGCCCCCGAAGAGACCAGGCTCCGCTTCGACCTGCCACGTCGTTAAACTTATATTCGGCGTCCCACACAGGCAACGCAAAGGAGGCTGTCAAAAGCGGTGAGTGAGGGAAGCAGGACATGGAAGCTGGAAATGCAACCCGACGGGCCCGCGTCCTCGTCACCTGGACAGTCATTGTGCCTCGTTCATGCAGGTGCACCACGAAGCTTGGGTGCTCCCCAGGCACCTTCCAGGGCGACCTTTCCTCTGAAGCTTGGAACACAACATCAGTCGGCTTTCTGGTGTGACACCCTCCACGGGCCTCACTGCACCTGGCCGACCAGCAAATCCTCCGGAGATCGGCAGACCCCTTTTTTCTTTCTTTTCCGATGGCGGCTTCGAGAACAAATCCAGGAATGTTGAATAATTTTTGTGATGTCTAGATGCTGAAGATTGATAACCTCACTATGCCCAATCCGGGCGACATTTGGGCCCTGGTCGCTAACCCCTGGTGACGTCTGGCGTCAAGCCCCACTGTTGCATTCGCCCAAGACACGATGACGCAATGAACTGGCGATGGGCGAGGAACCCCGCCATCCGCCGGCGATGCCAAAAGAGGAGAAGCCACAGAACCTGCGCCGTCACAGATGATCGCTCGCTTGTGCAGGCCGGCCCAGGAAGACCCAGGAATGCTGGGGCTTGGTGTCTTGGTTCCATCTGCTGATCGGGAGCATTGCGATCGAACCGAGCGACCGTTGCATGGCTGGCCTGATGGCTCTGATGGGCGGTCAGCGGCAGTCACGGCTCAGAAAAAGAGATAACGACGCCGCTGCGCCGATGCCAGAGCCCCGTCAAACCCGGTTCTTTTCCCACCGGCACTGGTCACAAAGAAAGGGAAAAAGACAAGAACCCAGCCTCGGGGAACACGGCAGGGAGATGGCCCAAAACGAGTCTGGTTGGTGATGGGCTGTGTCTGACTCTGAAGCAGCCTTGTAACACATCGGAGGGAACACATGGTCGGAGAGAAACCGAAGAGGTGGAACGCCACCAGGGTACTGCCGGATTACCTAGTAGGACGTGATTCTTCAGCAGATGAAGCTGGTGGTGAGAACTCAAAGAGGGGCAGCTTCCAACTCCACTTACTGCTTGGACTGAGCTCCTCTTCTCCAGGCACCCGAACAGGTACAGCTGCATCTCTTGGTCAGTGCAGCAGCAGCCAGGTACCCGACGAAGGCGGCAACTGCGTGAAATCAGGACAAAGGACGGGAAAGAGAACCTGGAAGGGTACCTACAACTGAGTACCTTGCTATTAGCTGTCAGTGAGTCAGACGAGCCGATGAATTGTTTAATGATTACGGCACCTTCACGTTGATGTCCAGATGACCGTATTTAAACTTTGTGCTTTCTTGCTTGCAGTAGCGGTGTCCCTGTCTTGAAATGCCCTGCCCCTCCTTTTTTTGGCCTGATCTCTTGCCCGAGCAAGAGCAGGAGATACCTGACCCCAACCGGAACCGACCGCCTGTTGTAATAAATGCAGTGTATGTAGAAGAAGAGAAAACAAATCAGAGAGCAGGACAACACCTCTTGGTGGCTGGGCTGGGCGCGCATTATACGAAGATAGAGTTGCAATATTAGAGGGGCAAACCGGAAGTTATATTGAGAAGGCAGGCAAGCGTGGCAGCACCTACCTGCACCTGCACCGCACCTGCACCAAAACAAAAGTTGATCAGACGAAAGGAAGGTCCAACCTCCTCCCGGTCCCATTGCCTCTGTCCCTCCCGTGGTGCCCCTCGTGCCCCTCGTGCCCCTCCAAAATAGCCACTGGCTGTCCCAATAATCTGGACGCCGGCCATGGTATTAAACTGTCTAGCGCCGAGAGCTAAGCTCTTTCAGGGTCGAGATCGGGAAAGTGAGGGGTCGGGTTCTTTATCATAGTTTCTTGGAGCTTCTTGTAGGTAGGCAGTGTTCAAGATCGCACCGAAACAAGAGAAAGTGCGCCCTTCCCGCAACCGTTCTCTGCCCGGACTTGGCTGCGTTGGGTGTGGCCAGAAAGATCCATGCTCAAGTCCGTCTCATCCCATGTCTTTGGTTCCTTTGTCTGCTTCGCCCTGACAATCACCATCACTCTCGCCATCGTCATCAACCAGGAATCTCATCGAGGCATCCACGCATCAGAACACACACGGAGGCGGTCCCTGTCCCGGCATTAACCTTCACATCTTCAACTCCCCAAAGTCTCCAAACATCCTGCTTCCAAGGCTGCAGGCTGCCGGGAGCTGTCCTATCACAGGAAGCTGCAGCAACCCAGTCCAAGCAGTCCCCAAGTCTGTGTGACAGCACCAAAGAAAGCGTATGCCAAGCCCAGGCCCGGCGCAACTGTGCGGTAATCCTCACCACCTATCGACCATTTTGTTGGTGTCTGACGGGTTGCGGTTCTCCTGCCTTTTTCTTTTCTTTTCTTCTGTTGCCCACCTCACCACCATCTACGGATAGTAGCGAAACGTTGTTCGATTTCTCGTCTTGCATTTCCACCAACCGCGTCACGACATACATCGCTCCCCGCTGCATTTTGTCCGATAGGGAAAACATTGCATGGGCTGCATTCAGCCAGGCCCGCGGTAAGAAAGCATCTACTCACGGTGGTTGGCCCATCACTACAGTAGTTCGTCAGCAAGGGCGGCGGACGAGCCACCCAACGAGCCAACTGGAAGCTTGAGTCCCGACCGAGATCTGGACCACGGCTAGCTGCTGAGCTGCTGCAACTGGAACTGGAAACTTACAGGTGGTTGGCCAAGCATTCGAGGTCAACTAACTCAACTCATTTTTCGCCCACTCTCCCTCCCACTGCAGATATTCCGGTGTCTGCTGTCGCAGGCTGTCTGGAGGTTGTATTGTTGATCTGCCAGCCCCCTTTTGGACAAGCCTGCGTTGGACGGCCCACCCGGACGACAGGTCTTCGCCACACTTCCGCACCCCCTGCCATCTGCTGTCCAGCAGCGCAGCGTCTCATATCGCAGGCACATTTTTGGCTGACGCTTTTTCACCTTCGCTGTCTGGGACCTGCTTCTGCCTTTTCTGACAGAGCACTTGGCGCATTCATCTTTTCCACTCACCAAGGGAATGTGTTTGCGGTGATCGACCTGCTTCCTGTTCAGCCTGTGCCTGTGCCGCCCTCAGGAACCCCACCACGAATCCCGGAAGACCCAGGGAGACGACAGGGAAGCCAGGGGAAACGACAAGCTCTGGGTTGCTTCCCGTCGCCATCTTTTTTTTCTTCCCACAGAAACCCAACCTTGCGACCGAAGAGAAAAAAAAGCCGCTATCCGGGGCCCCTTGGTGCAATCATCATCACAAGACAACACGCTTTCTGGCTAACGAGCACGAGCACCAGCAAGCTTTCGAATGATCAGCCTCCGCCGGCCCCTTTTCTCCCTATCCTCCTGCCCCTCTCCCTCTCCGACCACTCTCTTTTGTCCCTAGCTCAATCATTCCCAAACAACGCCGCCGGCTCCCCGCACTTACCCCTGCCGCGGACTCGGTCGTCTCAGCCTCACCGGGCAAGCCCACGCATATCTACCCTGAACCCCTCGCCTGTGCTCCCGCATCTGGTTGCACTCTTGCATCACCCTCCCTCACCCACCACAGGCACCTCCCACCATGGCTGCAGCTTTTCGCCCAGTCAACACACCGCTCCTGGCAGCGGACTCCATCAAGGACGAAATACCCCCTTCTTCCACGACTTTGATGGCGACAACGACGACAACAACAACGATGACGACACCGAGACCGAGCACAGCGCCTTCGCAGGCTTCACGGCCTGTTGACGAAGCCACGACACCAACACGAGCAAACTTTGGAACAGGCGTATTGGCATCTCAGAAACCACTTCCGACATCACCATTTCCCGAGTCGGTACAAGTCCCCGAACCCACGACGGAATCCACACCCAAGCGAGAAAATTCGCAGCACTCGAGGAAGTCTAGGGACTCGGACGACATGGACATGGATGACTCAGATGGAGAACACGGTGAGGAAGTTGGATCAGACGACGACAGCGAGAACGCCGACGGAACAAAGTCGAAGAAGAAAAAGTCGCAGCGATTCTATTGCACGGATTATCCACCGTGCAATCTGAGCTTTACCAGGAGCGAGCATTTGGCCCGCCATATCAGGTACGTACTACAACCATATTTTCCGTTGGAAAATAAGAAGCAGGAGGTATTGACGAGGAGGTCACCGCAGAAAACACACTGGAGAACGCCCCTTCCAATGCCACTGCTCCAGACGATTCTCTCGACTCGATAACTTGAGACAACATGCACAAACAGTGCATGTGAACGAAGATATTCCGATTGACTCGCTAGCAGCGACAGGAACAAGATTTCAGAGACAGATCAGGACCGACAGGGTGCGGCCAACGACTGGCAGGGCAAGAGCGGCGACAGCTGGCAGTGTTGGACCTGGGGGTCGAGGACACTCGAAGTCTCTGTCAACATCTAGCATCACAAGCATGGCTTCGATAGCCTCGGCCTATGGTGGTGGTGAGGCACGCCGACGTCCGCCTCCTCTGGTCATGGCCGACCCCCGATCCCGACTTTCTCTCGAGTCATATCGCGGACCGGATGGTCAATACTATAGGGCCGCCTCACCGGACATGAGCACTCCCACATCAGCCACGTTTTCGACAGGCCAAAATAGCCCTCGATGGGGTCCGGTGGCCTCTCCTGGTTCATCACACTCACGCTCGCATAGCATGTATGCTGCCGCCGGGTCCCGCACCCCAGGCCGCCGACTAAGCGTTCCGTCTGGAGGCAACCCGTTCCAATCGCCTCATGCCCCCAGTCTCCGCGGCCCGCTGTTTGGCCCTTCGCTCAACGCGTCCAACAGCGGTGCCTTTTCTCCTGGCCAAAATAGTCTTCTCTCATCGCCCACAACGTCCACTTCAAACTGGACAAGGCGGGATTCAGTGTCGACGGCCGATGAGGCCTGGCGACGACGAACGTGGCACCCCGATACCGCGGGCTTCAGCGGGGCAAGCAGACTGAGCCAGGTCATCACTCCATCTCAGTTCCCGCCCGACAGCATTAAGCTTCCACCCGCCAATACCGGAAACCAACCACCTCAAACACTGCGGCTGCCCGGTATCGAGTCTTTTGATCCTATCCCGAGGAGACCGCCCACACCTCCCCGCCGCAACCCGTCCCCGATGATGATCGACTCGGAGGCATCACGGCCCCCAGCTTTGTTACCGGCCGGTGACCTCGGTTCGGATGACCGAAGGCCTAGCTCGCAGTGGGATATGGGCTTGCATCGGGGCATAACAAGACTTGACATCAACACGCCACCCCGGGATAGCGCGGGAGCATGGGCCAACGAGGCCACTCAAGCCCTGATGGCTCGCGCTGAGCAAGCTCATGCCGCACCCATGCAACCTACCGTCCGGTTCGAACAAGATCTGAGGCCTCCTCAGGGCCCGCCGCCCATCAATGTGGCCCCTCCTGTCGGCTCTAGGCATCACTACACAATGTCGGCTCCATCCATCACCACACCTCGTGAGTCGCGAAGACATGGATGGTATCACGGTCCAGTGCCTACCCACCCTGTTGAGGAGACCATCCATGAAGGCCGCCCACATGTTGATCGGATTGTTCACCCCAACGTTCGTGGTTTCCAGGGATTTCCTGCCAGGGAACAACAGCTTGGCATTCACCAACAACAGCCATCCGGCCCCAGCATGGAGCGGATCCTGGAGCGGCCAATGTCCCGGGGCGACAACCCCGAGTCTCTGCGGCGGTTGCAGGCTCTTGTGGCCGTCGCCACAAGCGAAGGCTCGACGGCAACGGCATACTGAGGCCCCCCCAGCTTGATGGGGAGATGACATCTACGAATCACGAATTGGAATTACTGCATGGCGTCTGGACCTCGGAAACACACGACTTGGATTAGCGCGGAGGCCGTTTTGCTTTTGATACCCGTTCTCTCACCCGCCTACACTCGCTGCATCAAACGGTTTGGGCTATACAGATATGATCACTCATTTTCTTTTGGCATTTGATACCACGCTCGCTGCATACATACACATCTGGATACTGGGATTGGCGGTCTTTTTCTTTTTGGACGTCAGCAGGCACTACACAGGATACTACGGGTCGGTCATCTTTTGTTGCAATTTAGAGGATTCATTTCTGTTTTCTTATTTCCTTTTTGGGTCTGGGTTTTATGCCACGTTATGACAATTTTCTTGTTGTTTTCCATTTTCCTTTTTGTGTTACGACGAAATGACAACCAACGGTTCCAGACCATGGCACTCTAGTATAGGGATACCCATCTTCTCTACTCTCGGATACGGGGCGGCATGCGGTACATGGTCGGGTTGGGAACTTTTGGGCACCTCTTCAATGGATGCTATTCTTTACGCAGTTTCTTGCAGGTGATGGCACGGTGAGATGTGACGACGATGCCGGCTACGACGATATGAGACTACGACACTACGTTATGGATAAGGACGCAGTGCTGCTTTTGCGATGCAACGATGACACGACAACAAAGATTTAGCGCTGCATTTTCTCCTTGCTGTTCCGATTGTCGAATCTTGGTTGGTCTCTACTGTCGCATTCTGGTCGATGTCGTCAGGGGGGTGTTGGGTTGCTTGGTCGGTCAGTCAGGCACCGTCTTTGCTGCAGAGATGCCCGTTATATGGGGATGGTGGCTTGGTCAGGGGTTGGCGGGGAACTTTTGGGAAAAGATGATCAGGGGAGGTGGATAAGACTGAGAAACATGATCGCTATGTTCTCCTAGGTTGTCTCGAGGTTCCTCTTTTGGTGGTCACTGATGGACTTGATACCCTGGAAGGAAGGGTTCGCTTCCTTTTTTTTGTTGCGGGTCCTTGAACAACATCTTTGGGGGTTTAGCTTGCTTGGGCTCTCTCAATGGGCTGGCGGTTTTGCGCGCCTTGATTTTTTTTTGGGAAGGGTGGTAGCTTTTGCTGTTTTTGTTTTGATCTGCTTTTGCTTGGGTGGGTGGGTACGTGTTGCAGTCAGGCACACTGCAGGTTTCGGCTGGTGCATGACAGCAGACAGGCAGTGTTGTGCATTTGTTGGAGATCTGAGAGTGGATCTGGATGTGACGTTGGATTTTGTAATGGCGTGATGGGATGGATAGGAGGGATTGGGAGCGGGAGTAGTATAACTAGATAGAAATATGTTTATTGGGTTGGTCACCTCAATTTTGTGTTTTGTCCACTGCGGGACTGCCCAAGCTGATTGTGCTGGAATGCAAGGTACACTGGGCGCTGTGGTTATTTGATGTGTTAGGAACGCACCTGATGATGCATGGAAAGTCGTACTCGGGGTGAACTTGAGGTGTTGGGTATGGAGATCAGTTGCCGATGCGGCTATCTGTTGAGTCTCAGTTTGAGGTTGAGGTTGCGGAAAGGATCTGTAGTATTGTGTCGGTTGGGAATGGCGAATAGCTGGTTGGGTAAATAACACCATTCTTGATCTGCCTGAGTGAGACGGATTTATCGTCACGAGGTTGTCTTGAGGGTCAAGGTCGGTGCGGTTTGGGGCTTGATCCATTTGCGAGTGAGTACCTTGGCTGATGTGCCTAGTATCATACCTGCTCTGTTGATGGTTGGTGATTTGCTTGCTACAAAGCTTTGATTACCTAGGTAGGTATTTAGGGTGATAGGATCATAGGATGTGAGTAGGGGGAGGGGGGAAAAGGGGGGCAGGGCACTACATGGCTTTTGATTTGCGCTGGGAATTGTGGTGATGCTAGTGTTGAGTATCTGGTTCATGAACTCGGGGAGGAAGTCAATGGTAGCTTGGGGGAAGGGTGATTGTGTCCTTTTATTTTTTCTTCGCTTTCTTTTTTCGTTGTTTCTTCTTTTTCTTTCGTCTTTTACTTCTTTGTTTCTTTCCTTTTTTTTTTTTTTACCCGTACAGTGTCCCCGGGAGTACCCACTTTTCTGTACCATGCAAGCAGGCCACCCTAGAGTAGAAGTAGTCCGCTTGCGTGATCCGAATAAGGTGGGGAGGGAGTCCTTGGGGCACGGGTATTTCTTTTCTTTTTTCTTCTTTTTTTTCTTTTTTTTGGAGATGTAGGAAGATGAGGAGGTGATGAGGTGGTGGTTGGAGTGACTGTAGGAGGTGGTCGCAACCTACTGCGGCAAGGTAGAGATGGGGGAAGGTTAATCTGGCTATGCGTTGAGTGTTGATGTTCGGGGTGGTGGTTTGTGTTAGGTGGGTCTGGTAGTAATTATGCCTTTGAAGCCTGTATTCACTTTTCAAAGACAAGGGGGCTTTGCTCCTTCCTGTTGGAAAAGAGTTTGAACCGAGAACTGCCCGAGCGTTGAGCAGCCTGCTGTCTTTCTATGACACCACGCACAGCGCTCCTGTGGTGTGTCAGCCACATAGGTAGGTTCTTGAGCAGCTCAGCCCGGCCGTGCTCAAGTTTCCAATGGGTCTCTGATTGGCCAGCACAATGATTTTGCTGTGCAGCGTGTGCCTTGTTTGGACCGTTGGCGGCGTCCCATCTTGGTAGATCAGGTCGATTTAAGTGGTATTACCTAGGGTTATGTCGAATGCGTCCCTACGTTTCCGACTTTATTGCCCCGGGTACTCTCCATACCTACTGCGGCCGCCTATTATTCAATCCAGAGATCTGAAAGCCGAGAACAAAGTCGGTATTTGAAGCTATATTGTAATTTCGGGCATTTCTTGTCCTGTCAACGAAGCCGGGGAGTCTGCCAGCATGTCCGAAAAGCCAGGACAACACCCACCATCGACATACGAACTTGACGACTTGGCTTCTTGTCATGGTGTTCAAGAGGGTGAATACGAATACACCGCACTGAGGAGGCAAGGGAACATTCGCTTGCTGCATCTTCTACCGAGCGAGGATCGAAGAAGCCGCTTGGTCTGCCAGCTGCGCGAGTATCCGTTGTTGGCCTCGAACCAGGCCGAACAAAACCAGGAATTACATCTTTATGAGGCCCTTTCATATACCTGGGGTGATTGGTCAAACCAGAGAAGCATAACCGTGTATTCTCGTCGGCTATCCGTCACCGATAATCTGTATGAGGCTTTGCTGGCTCTACGAGAACAGCATCTTCCGAGAGCTTTATGGGTGGATGCAATTTGCATAAATCAGAGAGATGATTTGAAGAAGCAGGAGCAGATTCAGCCAAGCTCTCCATTCGAAACTGCTCGCTTCAACGTTTGATGTTCCACGAGAGCTACAAAGCCAGCTCCGTCCGGTGGTGTACTCAATAGGACGGGCGATATATCGTCCGAGGAAGACAGCCGGCATTGCTTCGCACGACAAGAGCGAGCTGGGTGAGCTGATCGATATGTATCACACCCGACAGGCTACCCTAGTGCATGACAAGGTGCTCGCCTTGTTGGGCATGAGTACCACCGACCCACCACACAAGACATTCCTAAACTATTGGGTTGGTTGGGATGTTGTTTTCAAGCAGGTGGTAAAGTCTCTATTCGGTGCATTAGTGTCAGTTGATACCTGGTCCCACTCACAGGTGGCTGAGATACAAGGAAATGGCCAGGTACTGGGCAAAGTAATTCGAGTAGAATTCGATGATGCCAACGGGCGGCAGAAGCTATCCATCGAGTGGAAGTTTTCACAAGCCCAACGATTATGCATCGTCTGCAGGCTGGACGCTTCCACTTTCTGCGAAATCAGTCCGGAGGGGTGACATTGTCTGTATCATGAAGGGAGCGTCGAAACCTACCATTGTCAGACTTTGCTCAAGCCTCTTCTCTATCATCGTGAGCAGAGTCTCGTGCTGCGGGCCAGAGAACATCAGGAACTTTCCATACCGCTTCTCATTGATATGGGACTGGGGATGCAGAGAGGAGCGACAGCCACAGAGGGGGCCGAGTCACCAAAGTACAGCTGTCATTCTAGAAGCGGTAGGGGACTACAACGATGCGGCACTGGTTCTCCTGGATTGTGTAAGCAACTGCAAGTCCCTCGGGAGCAAAGCGCAGAGATTAGAGACCATCAATCAGCTCGTCCTCCTGTACAGCAAGGCAAACCAGATGGAAAAAGGATTCAATCGTCTCCGCAAAGAGCTACAAGGTCGATATCAGTACGACAGGGATGATTTGCAGATCTTGGCCCCGGCAGCAGCCTCCCAGGATGGGGAGGCCATGCGGCTTCTTATACGTCACGCGGGCGGAATCGATCTGACAGAAGCTGTGCTTCTCGCAGCCGTCCACAGCAATATGCACGGCCGTAAGGTCTTGGAGATTCTCTTCAATCAACCACGATACCCCTCAAGTCCGGTCAGTGGCAAAGCAATCACCGAGGCTGTGTTGATAGCAGCCGCCCAAAATATACCAGAAGGTGCTTTAATATAGCTTTTTCCCTTAGCTGACTTGTGTGCTAATAATGAGCTGAAGCTCGGCAGCTCAAGTTCAGTATAATAGGAAGTTCTGTCAAACGATCCTCTTGGCAGAAAAGCTACACTGTTTTCGATCCTCAAGAAGAAACAAGGATACCGATTATTTGACTTTGAACTAAACCAATTCTATACCACCTTAATCCAAAACGCTTTCTCTTGTCCACTCCGAAAAGACTACGCTGCGGCTTCCTATTCCAAAACGCTAAATATCAAGCATGCTCCTTATCTGTTGCGGTGGCTGTTGGCTCACCCTCGAGCCCACACTAGGAGCTACACTCCCCTCCCTTGCCCCTGTCGCACCTGGATATGGCGGTGGTGGTGGAGCCGTCGTAGCTGCTGCCGAGGGTGCAGGGCCATCCATCATCAGCTCCTGTTCCCTCCTTCCCCTTTCTGCCTCTGCACTTCTATTTTGAGGGAAAAGAGCACCAGCTACCGCCTGCATGGCTCTTTCTTGTCGAATTCGCTCTGACCGACCATTATACAGCGGTGGTGGTGACGTCGGCGGTGTATTTGTCCCAGCTGGGGACATGCCCGGTGCGGAAGGGGAGAGCGGGCTCATTGGGACATCATCTGACGCCGGGCTTTCATTGTTGCGCGGTTTATTCCCCTGGATTTCTCTGACATTGCGGACGAGTTGGTCGCGCATGCTTTCTCCTGGCACAACTACCTCTCCGTTGACTCTGGCCCACCATCCGGGCTTCTTGACGATGCCCATCTCCTGGTCGAGCTGCTGGTTGCGTACGATACGTTGGCGTTTGAGTTCTTTGTCTTCATTCTCGTTGATGAACCCAAAGATGACCTGGATGTACATGATCAATAAGGCTGGGGCGTAGCCACCAGCAAAAATAGCGGCTCGGTTCCCTTCGAGGTTCAAGGGGCTGTACTCAAACTTCCATGCGCAAAGCTCCTGATAGGCCGGGACGACAAGTGCGATGGGAATAAGGAGCTTGAATCGGAGAGGCGTCATGCGAATGAAGCCTACGAATCGGTTGATGATTCCACGGTTGCGTGGGCGGTAGTGTTTGATCGAATGGCGGAGAGAGAAGACTGTTAAGCACCAGCAGACGAATAACAAAAAGCCGGCGGCTTTGAACCGGGCATCGGTGGCGGAGGGCTCAGCTTCGTTGACTACTTGTTCGGGGTAGCGCTGGTGCTGGATGGGAGTCCAGTTTCGGGGAATAATCATGAAGAAGTTCTGGAGAGACAAAAGTTAGAGGGGTTGGGTATCAAGACGGAAACTGAGAGGACGTACAAGCCACCAGAACAAATAGAAGATCAAGGGCAGATGGAATTCCACCTTTGATCTTCTATCGTCATCTCGCAAGGCGTAGGGGTCCGGATCTATAAACTGCCGTTCCATCCAACTGCCCCAATGGCGCACTGCTTCCCATACCTGGGCAATAGTGCCCAGCTGCATCAGAAACCAGAAGAAACTCGTGAGGATAAGTGGCAACTCGGGAAGATAGTATCGGTCGACGTCCATGGCGGTAAACAAACTGACAACGGCAGTAGCGCTGACAATAATACCCCAGTACCACTGCCATCTCCTTCCAATGGGATAGAATCGCTTTGTGACGGGGAGGTAGAGGCGACCGTGTCGATTAAGCGCGACGATGGTCAGGACAAGAGCGACGCCGAAGAGAACAGCAAAACCAATCGAAGTGCCGGCTCGTTCTCCGATGCCATTAACGGGAGACCAACACCATGTTGCGTTGACGAAGGTGCCATTGGGCATGACAAAGTCAGCGATCCACGGTTCCCAAGCCAAAAGACACCACGAGCCATTGGAGAGGGTTTGGTTTGTGAATAGCGTGTAGTTCCAGTGTTCAAGAGTGGTGAGGTTGAGATGGCTATTTCCAATCAATGTGTCACTCGAGTTGTCGCCGGGTGGGAAGGGAATGATATCCCGGGCTTGGAGGAACGAGTCCATGTTGGTGGCTCGGTCGCACCCAGAGGGTGGTTGCGCGCGCGCGTGTTAAATATCGATATTCGTCGTTTTCGAGAGCTCGATCGGACAGGAGGAACAAGTGAATTATCGAATATTAATGATGCCGGTACTTCGACATTATTGACACCACGATTGACAATCACAACGACTTGATCCAATGATCGGAGGGCTCAAGGATCAGGGGCGACGTGTTGCTGTCGGCGATGTCGTGGGCTACTGCCGAAGCTCCCGTCAGTGGATGTTTTTTGGAAGATGGCTTCTGGACAGATGGAAATGTGTAATCGCTCAGGGCACTTGCAGTGAGAGTGGGGGTTTGCCCAGCCCGCGGCAGGGACCAGCTGCCGTCAGCAACAGGCGAATACGATCGCCACTGTGCCGAGAGCCACCAAACATCGGGTGAGCGATAGGAAGCCATTCCCAATTCCGCCAGTTGACACTTAAGTACACAGTCCCTGCTTTGCGCCATAAGTAATTCTCAATGGTCTGTGTCGTGCTGTTCCCAGGGTCCAGCGCCGTACACAGGCAAGAACAGGTACCATAACTTCAAAAAAACGGCGATGACCTCACAGCTCACAGCACGGAATAGCTCCCACAGCCACGCATGCACAGCAATTGCGGGGCCATGAGCTAGCTGCATGTCACTGGGGCCGCCAACGCCCGCCTGAAAATTGTGGCTCCCAAACCCAACGACCTGGCCTCCATTTCGGGAGCTTTGCGCCCTGACCATTCTCTTGGCAGGGAACACCGCCAAACATCCGACCCAAGCTTCAACACCAGGGCACGACCACAACGACGCCAACGAACACAGGCCCATTGCGCCCACCTCACAATGTCCAACCCCAACGACCCCTCTAACACGGACGAGCCCTCCTACATCAACTACGAGGCCTTCCTCTCCCCCACCTTTTCTCCCTCCGCCTTCGCCAACACCCTCGTCCTCTCCACCAACAACCCGACCGAGCTCCCCCTCGATCTCTCCACCCCCTTGCGGCGCGTTTTGTTTGACATTCAAGAAATTGACTCCCATATTGATAGCCTTACCACCCGCTCATCCATCCCGCTGCTATCCCACACCAAATCCCAGACCGATGCCTCGGTGAAGATCGTCTCCGAAGTCGACGCCCAGCTCAAGGCGCTGAACGAGAGTTACAAGCAGCTCGAGAAACAAGTGATACAGAAACACTCCGAGGCCGAACAAGTAAAGCTCGTAGCGGCAAGACTATGGGAAACTTTGCGGCTCGGGAGGGCAGTGGGAAGGGCACTGCAATTGGGAAGGCAGCTCGAGGTGCAGAATGGGGAGCTTACTGGGTCAGCAACGGCAAGTGTGACGACTAGTGCTGCCAGTTTGAAGAGCAGGGAACGGCAGCAGGATCATAGGGCGTTGGTTAGGTGTACTCACACTCTTCTGCAGCTTAGGGAGCTGTTTGCTAGTGTTGGGACACCTGGTGGGGAGGGGTACGGACTGGAGAAGGTGCTTGTTGTGCGGACGTTGAGGGAACAAATTGTTGCGCCGGTGGAGAAGAATGTCAGGGAGACGGCAGAGAGGATAGCGAGGGAGTTCTCGGTTGGGAGCGCGAGTGGGAGTGCCACGTTTGCGCAGTCGGAGGAGATCAAGGGACGGACGGTGTCGGCGTTGACAGCGTTGTATCTGTTGACACAGGGGCCGACGAGGCCGAATGAGAAATGGGCACCCACACTGATGTTGCAGGCGTTGGAGGGTTATCTCAGGTCGGCGCTGCAGAGCAGCATTGCCGGACTTTCGAGGGCGTTGGCAAATCTGGATAGCTTGTCGAGGACGCTCGCGGAAGTTGGGGCGAGGTGTCAGAATGTGGTTGCCCTCGAGGCGGTATTGGAGGGAACAAAGGTGCCGGTCCATCCGATGCTACAGGGCAAGCAGCCAGTGCAAGGAGGAAATATGCTTCAGCCACTGCTTGCCTACCTGGAAACAGGATCCCTGGCAAGCTATTTCTGGCGCACCATGGCGAGTAGTATGGCGCCACGGGTTCAAGAAATTGTGGCAAAGGGAAATACAACAGCTGCTCGGACACTGAGGGCCAACAGGCAGAGCGTTGGTGAAGCTATTCGGGAGTGCGTCATCAAGGGGAGCCAACTGCCAAGCGTAGTGGCTGCTGCTGCGGCCAAGGGGAAGGGCAAGACTGGAGATGAGGAAGCTGCCAGCAAGCAGTGGGAACGAGAGGTGGCTGTTATGGTTGGGAGCGTTGTAAATAATCTTGGGAGGTGATAGGGCCTATCGAGGCCGTGTTTTATGCACTGAATGAATAGATTCTGGCCATCTGTGGCAGTTGATCAAGAGAGCTACAATGCCCCTCGCTGAAGAGCCGCTGCTGTGTTGCGGGAAAACGTTTATCCGCTCTTCTTCAGCAACCGTTGTTGGGACAGCTGGACATTCACATTATTCTTGCCATTCCATCTTAAGTCCAGTCTGACCTGAATGCTCCTATCATGACCAGAGTTGCTACAATCTCAGTTGTTTCCTGAACTAACAGTTTCCTCCATGTTTACTTACCCCTTTATAGCATAGGCGATTGGTCTGTGCATGAAGGGGTTACTTGTTCGAAAAGAGAGTCGTTCAAAACTGCAGATATGCCCAACCAGAGAATTGTTTGGTCGTATCAGAGGTTGAGCTGAGTCCACAAGTCGCCCTTTTCTATTTGTTGGGGCTTATTTCACTTCCCAAGCTCCTCCTTCTCCCTTCTCCACAACTCTTTTCGTCCCAACAACGCCTTCCAATTTAAATATAGACACCTATTTTGACACTGAATACACCTTCCTTCCCAACCATACACCTATCCATTCAAATTAAACGCCTGGCCTTTCACACCAGACGCTTTCAGTTCTTCACACTACACGTTACTTCCTTAACAAAATACCTCCCACTATCACCCACACGCCTTCCACTATCAACCGCACGCCTTCCGTTATCATCAATAGGCCTTCAATTACCAATCAGAGGCCTTGAATTATCTTTCCAAGGCCTTCCACTCTCAATCAAAGGCCTACTTATTTAACCAAACACCTATTTATTCCCATCACAGGCCTCAAAATCCTTTCCAAACACATACGCAATTCAACAATGGCCCCTCCCACCACGCTCAGAGGTGCCTCGCGCGGCACACGCGGCAGATGCGGCGCTCCCAGGGGTGCCAGAGGCTCCAACGCGCGCGGTGGTGCCGTTACTGGTGGGCGTGGCGCCCGTTCCATCACACCTGTTGCTGCTCCCCGGGCCGATTCCCAGCCATCCCCCGAGCAAGCAATGATTCCCACACCCACACGCCGCAGAGGTCCCAAGGTCCCTGAGCCCATGGGCAAGCCTTGGGCTGTCAGCTCCATGGCTTGGAGAACTGATGAAGGTTCACTCAAGCAAGTCACCCCCCTTTATTTCTACGTTTCGTTTCAAATTACTGATTGTTTTGAACAGGAAGCTCGAGACAGGCGAGTTCTCTGACGCGACCATCTTGGCTGACGGGAGAACCTGGAGAGTTCATCGAATGCTCCTCAGCACCCGATCCCGCTGGTTTGCGGAGGCGTTTGAGAAGCAGAGTGCGGGGGAGGATGAAGGGGAGCCGGAGATTAACCTGAGGGAGTTGAAGACTGAGTTTGTGGATATGCTGCTGCGGACACTTTATTCCAACCGTGAGTTCTTACCTGACAAACCACGGGAAATGTGTGGTGTCTAACAGTGAATCAAACAGGCTTGCCCGACCAGTACCTCAACATCCGCGGCGCAAATGCCACATTTTCAACCTATATCAAAATCTTCAACCTCGCCGATCAGTTCGGCGTCGAGACCATGTGCAACGACGCCCTGACACTCCTAGGCCAACTCGCCGACCGGCACCTCGAGGACCTCTGCACCTTTGACAAAGTCCAATCCGGCCGCGAGGGCGTGCCAGAGCCAAAGCCGGCGTTTCCGTATCACAATCTCGGTATTGCTATCCTCGAAGCCTTTAGTGAGGAGCGCACCGTCACCGATAAACGCGCGCAGTATCTGCTTGCCAACTTTCTCTACGCCGGCCGTGCGGTGCTGCTAGAGAACCAAGTCCTCAGGGACATTGTCGACCGCAACGTCCATCTCGCTGCCGCGATGTGGCACACCAGTCAGGGGCGGAATCTAGCCGGTTGGCTGCCCAACCCTGAGGTGATCTCCCACCGTCTGCGCGCGTTTGATCACTCGAGAAAGACGCAGCATCCTGATCGATGCGAGCTTTGTGATGATGTTTTTGATTATGGGGCTCACAAGAGGGTCATGTTTGATCCGTACAAGGTTGTGCTTAGGCCGGCGGGTTACTGCGGAGTTTGTGTCGAGAAGTATAAGGATGACCCGGGGTGTTTGTTTCGGAGGCGGGGAAAGATGGATAAGCTGGGGGAGAGGGGGTTGTTGCCGGTTATCAAGGCTGAGGTGTTGCATGAAGGGGAGGATAATATAGCGGGGATTCCGGAGATGGAGAGTGAGAGGGAGGCGAGTGCTGGGTTAGGGTTGCAGGGGCCGACGATGAGTACGCCCGCTCCGGTGCAGGTGTTGTCGGATGGGGAGTTGCTGCCGCCTCCTCCGGTGCCGGTTAAGAAGGGGGTGAAGAGGGCGAGAGAGGAGTAAAAGGGATAGGGAGAGGCGTAGGGAGGAAATGGGAAGGCCTTGCGGTGATTATATGAGGCATATGAAGGGGCTTTTATAAGGCTTGATACGCCAGAGGTAGGCGTTGACCTTTATTTTTAAGGCATTTAAAGTTATTTGGGAGGCGTTATTATTTATTTAATAGGTGTTGATTTATCATTTTGATGCGTTGGGTTGTATTTGATGGGGCATCTATACATTTTTTTGACGCATTATTATTTGTTTTATAGGCGTTGATTTATCATTTTGAGGCCTTATTTCCTAGTGCTTACGCATTTTTTGCATCTTCTGAGCGGTGCAGATAGTTATTATTTTGGTTAATGCGTTGGTTTTAGATACCTGCTACCCTGAGTGCTGAGTGAAAGTCGTCTGTTGACAATGACGATCTGGTTTGTCCACCGAACTTGGGTGAAAGGTGAGAGATATCAACAGTCAATGACGTAGAATCGGGTGATGAAGGATGCGAAATTTGGAGGGGTACTGTCCAGAGAAAGAGAGGTACGATGGTGCAAGGCAGACTGACTTGATGTCTGATAGGTTTTGAGGGGTATGATTTAGCTGATTGGTTATCAACGAGGGCGATGCCCGCGATCTGGGGGCTGGGCACTCGGACTATGGTAGTCGGGGGCCGCAAATCTCTCAACATGGGGGAAAGAATGAGCGATCATTGGCTTTCAGGGAACTGTATACCTACAGTTTTAATCTATTCGGCTACTGCGCCATGCGATGGTCACCCTACTCTATTTCCTTAAGACGACTGAAAGGAATAGACATTTTCCCCATGACCTCAGTCACCATAGCACTTCAGAATGTTTCATCTGTTTGTTCTCTTCTATACCACCATGGCGGGCATCGCGAATCCCAACTCGAGAAGATATGTCAGCCAAGTTGGCATCCTATCACTGGAATCACTTTTTCTGGGGAGTGTGATTCTGTTCTTTGTTGCGTCAAACACGCCCTGGTCTTGGGACCATCCGATGATCTTCAAAACGGGCTCTCATCTCCCTGTTCAATTCTGGCTGGCTGTTTTGGGTGTAGGGTTCAGCCTGCTCGCATTTGGACTGTCCGAGTCATATGTTCACTTGTTTGACGTGTGGTGCACATGGAAAGCTGGCAGCGATTCTGGACTCGACTACGCGAGATATCTCAACACCCAACCAAGAGCTCCAGTAGTTGTTGGCTTTCGCGGATTTCGGCCATTCGTCATGGTGCGGTACCTGATTATCTTGCTCGGCATCGCTGGCTCGATCGGCTACAAGTTCGCGATTGTTCAGATAACAGAGATGAGTCTAGAATTGGACGAAACAGCGGTGACGGTCCATTTGCCATCGGCGGAGCCAATCGACCTAGCAACCGGCGCAACAAGCACCTGGCTACGTGACGGCCCTACTGCGCAAGCCAATCGAGCCTTTCGACACTTCAGCAGTGTGGACGGTCATCATACGGACATCGCTGTGGACGCTATGGACCGAATGCAACCACCTGGGGTTATTTTCATGTTCGGCGAAGGACTATGCTCCGACACATTTCACAAATTTGACGAGGGGATTCTCACGACTTTGGAACTGGTTGTGGTGGCAAACTTGGAGGTTGAACGTCGAGACCCCAACGACTTTGTTGAGCTGGTTCCAGGAGGATGGACTCGCGTTGCAAGAAGGGCGGCCGGATGGCTGGAAGGAAGCTCGGATGGGTTGATCATTGATTACAGGCACGAAGAGAACGGCACACTTAACATACGCTGGGCTGAGATACCCGAGTGGGCAGATGAAGAGCGCGGGACGTTCATAACAAGGCAACCGATAAACAGGGGCATTAGCTATACCATTGGCCTGACCCTGGCAGAAGTGTCTCGAGTTGTTGCCTCAAAGGACTGTGGGGAGTTGAAAGAAGTCTGGCCAGTGGACTCCTTGATATCAACCATCCCTCTTGGACCCCCTGCAACGCAGAATAACCAACTCCTCAACACGCTACTCAAAGACCCCAAAATATCCATTTTGGATGGCGTGGGGCTGATTGTTCGCAACTCCATGACCACCTGGGGCCACGCCATTCACGCTTCAGAGCGACCAAACTACACTCCAGGCCATGCGCCTGTCCCTTCAGAACGCTCACGATGGGATCTCGTTCCACTCGCATCCGAAAAACATAAGGGAAATCACGGCGGTAAATACTTCAAAAAGCATGGCCGCCCCGGAGCCGTGTATCTCGAGTCAAACGTCACGTTTCCACGCGACTTTGGTGACCCGAGAGTAGCCCAGGCATATTCGTGGATGTTTTTACCGCAAGACCAGAACCATCCGGTCAGCTATCCGTATTACGAAGGAACCAGTGTCCAGAATGCCGGTGTGGGGGGTTACTCTCAGGCAGCCGTCATCTTCATTATTCTTGGCGTGATTGGGTGCTCGCTTATTCTTGTCAGACTGTACCTTGGACCGGCAGGAATAACGTCCTGGATGGGCCAGCATGTATATTTGGCGTTGGAAGGCAGGATCCAGAGAGATGGTTCGGAGATATTGGCGTGCGGGCATCAGGTTGCGCAAGATCTTGGAACGGTCAGGATTGAGAAGCATTCCCGGATAATGAATGAAGACGAAAGGAACACGGCAGAGAGAGTTGAGTCCAGGAGCTCGACCGGGCTGTGGATCAAGGGAGTTTGAGAATGTATATGTGACGGTATGTAGGGCACCTGACAAAGGGCCCAGGTTTTCACCAGACCAACACCTGGTTGCTTTTAAGGCCGGATTTCCTATTTGTTTACTTTTAGACTGAACAACCAACAACCAATATTGTAATACCAATTATCAACCAATTTCTGGCCTTTTGGTCTCTCTTTTCGCGGCCAGTGACTTTCCTAGGCCACTAGCCCAACACGGTATGCTCTTCAGGGAGAGTGAGAGATGCTGAGGTCCGTGAGGGTGACACAGGTGTTCAGCTTGAAAAGGTTTTGGGTTATTCCCCCCCCCCCCCCCCCCCACCCCATTTGGATTCAGACCGAAGAAGGAAAACGTTGAACAGTTGAGATATAAGCCCTACCGTGCTTATATCGGCAGATTCTGGCGGCTGGCGACGTCGGGTTGTGAGCGAATGAGGGATATGATCGATGGCAAGGAAGTGTGGATTGAGCATGAAAATCTTGACAAAATTCCAGATCCTACATGCTGTCGAACAATGGCTGATGCTCAGAGTGTTTCCGCTGAAAGACGCATCCGCGGCAAAAGATTTCCAGGAGGAATAGCGTTTCAGATAACCATTTTGGGAAGCGTACATGATCATAGATGCCTGGTGTTCAGACCCCTGCTTCATCCTCCGCCAGCTCACAAGTTCGCCCGGATATGATCCGGGAAACCTCCCAACCGGAAGGAGGCTGAAGCCAACCTTTTTATACTCACGCTCGGTCTGGATCTCCTGCAGAGCACCGCCATCATCGCTCCAGAGTTTGTGTGACTTGGCAAAGCGGCCTTTCAGTCCTGGTTCAAGCTGCGAAGCCACTGCCAGCTTCTTTGTTAGGCGCGCGGATGCATGCGCCGCGATAACGGGGACTTGATCCTTCGCGCCTTGGCCCCTTATACCCTTGCCTTACGCTGCGCCGTAGTCGCCCGCTGCTGCTTATTTCGGATTCCACACCACGAACCACCAATGCTACTCCAAGCTGACCAGAAAACAGGGCCCAGGAGGGCGATCCCAGCCGCGACACTGAATGCGAGCTAGCTGTGAGATTGCCTGTCCCAGCTCCCACACCCCATTGGTTCTTAGATCCTGTTGCAACATGCTGCAGGGGCACTTCATGTCAAACCCGCCGCATACCGGGATACACAGTGTCTCTTTTAACCCCACGACCAGCGCTTGCCGTGGCTCGTCGCTCTCCGGTTTCTCTTTTCCCTCTTGATGCAGTCTTGACAGGTGCAACACCAACGGAACAATGCGGGTAGAGGCTCTCTTGGTATGTGCCGCCCTCTTTGGCGGTACCACTGTGCTGGGCCAAGTAACACCACAAGCGAACATCAAGTTCATTACTCCACCGAATATCCAAGAAGGCGAACATGATATGAGGGATAATCCGGTTCATGAAGAAGGCAGTCTGCTTCCAATCACCTGGTCACCAGCACCCGAGGGAACGAGAATCAGTCTGACCCTCTTTCAACACAACACCACCGACGGCGGGTCTATTGGCGACTTTGAATACATCACACGTATGTCTCATTCCCTTTCTTTCATGGCCCATCAACTGACCATGTCTTGACAGAGGGCACTGTCGGGATTACACGGCACCCATGGATCGTGGCCACAACCAAAGACCTGAAGGACTCGGACGTCTTCAGAATCATCTTGTTCATCGAGGGAGAAACAGGAGGCCACACCGGCACCGAGTTCTTCAACATCACCCGAAAGAAAACCACAACAACAACAACAACAACCACATCCACCACCACCCTGCCCACGTCCATCGACAAAGACGACGAATCCAACAGCTCCTCCACATCCGCCAAATCAACCCCAACCGACACAGAAAACAGCAATAACTCCGCCCAAACAACCAACCGCTCAGAAGACATCACATCCTCCTCCTCCGGGCTCTCTACCGGCGCCGCAGCAGGAATCGGCATCGGCGCAACCGGTGCCGTGATCCTCCTCGCAGGAGCAGCATTCTACTTCTTCTTCTTCAAACCCCGCCAAGAAAAGAAACAAGCCGCTCTTCTCGCCGCGAGCGGTGTTGGTGGTGCAGGGTTCCCATCACCAGGAGTGACACCGCATCAGCATTACTCCCAGGTGCCGAGCCAGCCTGGGCCGCCGTCGATGTACTCGGGTTATGCGGGGATTCCACCGTCTGTGTCGCCTGGTCCGCCGGGGATGACGGAGTACAAGCCGCCGAATTATTACGGGGGGCAAATACCGCCGCAGCCGCCAAGTGAGATGAGTGGTGATTGGAGGGGGCAGCCGCATGAGATGGCGGCGGGGCAGATGGCGAGTTATGAGTTGCCGGGGCATCAGCAGAGGTAATGGGAGGGTGGGTAGACGATGAGTAATGGGCATGGAAGAGGAGTTTAGATGGTTGATATTGAGCCGGAATGGAAAATAAATAGGGCGGTTGATACCTGGGGGTTTTGGTAACTGTATTCATGGAGGAAAATAAGGGCTGTATTATATTACGTTGAGGGACATGCTTTCTTCGTTTTGTTCATGTTCGGGCTTTCGTCTTACTCTGGTGTGCAGCCGAGCATTTAAACGTCCGACATTCTTGTCTATACAAACCTTCTGTCGTGTCTTTCTGGTTCTTGGATGCCTGATCAGTGATCCAAACACCCCTCGACCGAATTTCACTTACCAGCTTTACCACGTTGCAGTTTCATCCCCACACGACGACGTATTTGCGCCAAAATACGACTGCTACGAACCGACAAAATTGAGCTTGTGGAAATATACGGCAGCGATGTTGAACCATACGCCATCCTCTCCCACACCTGAGACAAGGAGGAGGTGTTATTCCAGGATATACAACATCCTGAACTCGCAACCTGGAACTGGAGTACATGTCCTGACACTTGCGAAAATCTCACCCCCGCTGCTCACTCGTGTTTCGGGAAGAAAGGCTTTTACAAGGTCCGAGAAGCAACCCTCCTCGTCAGAAAGCACGGATTCAACTTCATCTGGATCGACACATGTTGCATAGACAAGAGTAGCAGCACGGAGCTTTCTAAAGCCATCAGCTCCATGTATCAATGGTACAAAGATGCGCAAGTCTGTTATGCGTTTCTCGCTGGTGTCGGGTCAGAGGCTGAGGAGGACCCATCTGAAGAGACGTCGACTTTTCAGGGAAGCCGGTGGTTTACGCGGGGCTGGACATTGCAAGAGCTGATTGCCCCCCGTCAAATTGAGTTCTACGGATATGACTGGAGTCACCTAGGAGATAAATCACCTGGTTCGGGATTTATGGATCTTGTTGCCAATGTTACACACGTTCAAGTCAGTGTATTGGTAGGGAAACGGCCCCAAACAGCATATGTCTCGGTAAATAAGATCCCCATGTTAATTCTGGTGAGACAGGTGAAGGCTGACAGCTCACCCGTCCAACAGCTTCACGCATGCGTTGGGCCGCAGGTCGACAGACTACGCGAGTTGAGGATATCGCCTACTGCCTGCTCGGGCTTTTCGACGTGAACATGACACCCCAGTATGGAGAGGGAAAGAAAGCCTTTATTCGTCTCCAGAAAGAGATTCTCAGTCAAGATGACGACCAAGCACTATTCGCCTGGCACGTCAACAAGAATGACGTTGGCTCGCCTGAGACTCTTTTCGGCCTTCTGGCCGATTGTCCGGATAGATTCCTTGAAATTGGAAGCACCGAACTTGTCACACCAAAATCTATAGGAGGTCAACCAGTCACCGTCACACCCAGAGCTATCAACATTGAGTTGTTTCTCATTCCGTGCCACGACAAGGGGCGTGCAGATTTCCTCGCCATTCTCGATTGCGAAATTACCAAGACTGAATCACGTCAAGCACCTGCGGTATATTTGAAGCGACATTGGGGCACCGGAGATCAATATTCCAAGGTTCTTCCCTCAGAGCATGTTTATGTCCGAAGACAAAACTCGCTTGAGGGAGGCGCCTCATGGCAGCGGATTTTCGTAAAGGCGGAACCAAGATCAAAAGCCGCTATTCTGAGAATAGTACCCTCCAAGGACAACTCGGGACTCAGAAGCCATGATGAGGGGACCGCCTGCGAATGGGAGGTGATAGAAGCAAAACCTGCAATCTGCTGGGGTGAGCAAGCTGGGACATTTGAAGTGGAGACCTGCAAAGTTCGTTTCGGGGAACCAATTGGTTTTTTCAAAATCAACATCATCTTGAAAGAAGGCCTTGTTTTCGTCGAGGTGGCAGTTAGCTTGAAGTTCAATAGTGAACGCTCATGTCGAAGCCGGTGCCAAGTAATCTCTGTGTCCCAGCATTTTCTGGACCTGCAAGACGGCAAGCACCACGGCTTTATACAGCTTTCAGCGAATATGAGAGACTACCACAGCAGCGAGTTTAACAATGCGTTGTCGCATGATCGTGTGGGAGACAAAATACCAGTGTTCATACAACTGACGGAGCATCACCATGGTCAAAGTGAGACTGTTTCACTTCATGTACTCTGTCGATAAGATTATCGCTTCGGAAAAGCGGCATCCAACAGGAAGCTGGCCAAGTGGCTCTGAAGAATCTGCTGGGAACTGGTGCTGTCATATTACAGACAATGGCGACAATTGAGTCAGAACCACTATCACATTTGTTAAAAGTGCAGCACAAGTCACTCGTTCAGAATTGCGAAAAGCGGTTTCGAGACCTCTACGAAAGCCTTTTGTTAAACATATGCCCAATGCATACAGTCATGCTTATGATGGGAAATCTTTCTGGGCCGAAATATGTGTGCACAATAAGCCCAGATTGGCCTTCGCAATTTCCGTTGAGCTTGCTACACACCCTCCCTACCCTAGAAAGAACCTTTTTGGGGCTTAATGGCACCTTACGAACAGCCAAACAAATCGTGGATGCAACGGTGGCTGTCTCGATGATAGGATACGTCTTAGGAACGGGAGACCTCCAAGGAGCGGGAGACCACCCAAAAAGTCAAATCAAACCTGGACAAAATCCATATCTTCTAGTGAGTGTGTATTAGAAGTCTTCATATCCTCGCCATGCTGAGCAAGGTACCTAACTTTACCTAGCCATGTGGGTATCATGATCTCTATTTGTATATTTCCTGGCCCCTACATTGTAAAATGGCTAGCAATATCTCTAATATACTAGATGTACACGCTCAAAACTGCCAGCGTGATAATTTCTCTCAATGACGACGGAAGTTGGAAAAGTCCGGTCCTCAGCCAAACCTGTTCTGTGGTTCTTAAACGCGTGGAAGAGCTTATTTCGAATATCGATTTCATCATCGCAAATACACTCTCAATGAAGGGGAAATGGGATCCACACCCTAATTAATTGGGTAGATTTGCGATGAAAATAAACCTACCTACACAGACATGACATTGGCAACTGGTAGCCTTCCCGCTCGGCTGGCAACGACGATGACACCTTTGTAAGCCACCACGCTCGTGCGACTCCTGTCAGCTCTACTTTGAGCAGGTTGAAGGGAAAAGCCGGATGCTAAAGTTGGACGATGTCATCAGTGAGGAAATTTTCAGTCATGTGGCAGTCGTCTGCTGTCAAGGTCCACATGCCACAGCAGAGTGCAACAAAGTCGCGACACACATCATAAGCATGCTAGAGGATGGGGTGTCTCAGAAGCTTCGCTCAGGTCCCTATTTCCTTCACGGTTCAGGGCACATTTCCAAGGTGTACCGACTGTACCAGGATACTCATCAGGCGTTTATGTTTGGTGTCACGCGAGACACAAAGTCGACGTCACCGAGGTAAGAACCGCTGTTATCGACTCTCTCCACGTAGTGTTCCCGATCTTTTATTGACGAGGTACCACAGACAGATTCCAAGAGTACCACGGAAGCCTTATCCCAGTTCCCTCCCGACTCTACTTCGACTCCCCTACTAAGCAGTCCCCCTACGAGGAACGCGAGTCACTGTCAAGGATGTCTATCACCTCGCCGGTACCCCCACGAGTGTCTCCTGCCGTGACTATCGAGCCTTCATGGGCATCAAGGATGAAACATCAGAAATGGTTCTTCGGCTGATCAACGCAGGAGCGGTCATTGTCGGCAAGACCAAGACAGCGCAGTTTGCATCTGGGAAGCGTGCTGGAGATTGGTCGACTATCCTTGCCCTTTCAACCCTCGCGGCGATGGGTACCTGGCTCCAGACGGGAGCAGCACGGGGAGCGCAGCGGCTGTAGCGGGATATTCGTGGCTGGATTACTCTATTGGTACAGACAGCAAGGATGTTCTTTGCCACGTTGCTCCTGGTGTTATCATCTTTAACTTCAGTAGCACTTGGAAGCATGGTGTGCCCGGCAGCAAGCCGGGGAATCTTTGGCATCAGACCAACACACGGAATATCAGATCTAAGTGGCATTGTTCCCGTTTCAGGGCATGACTGTTATTGACCGTACGAGTGGCTTGATGGTAGATGCTGATGTTACCAGGCACCTGGATACAGCAGGCTTCTTTTCCAGGTCCATCACCGAGTTCAGGGTCTTCGCGAAAGCTTGATATACCAATCACTTGGATATACAAGTCAGTGATGGCAGCACCGAAAATTACATCATGGTGTCAAGTTTAGGTTCGTTAATTTTTCGGTGGTGATAGCCTACTCGCTTGCTCTGTCCTCTTGAGCATTTCGACGAATTCCCCGACGACTCGAAGCTCAAGCTGGAGGCATTTATTCAAGATATCGACAAGGTTACGGGACAGGCCAGAATTGCTTCTGATGTGTCTGGGCGCTGGACTGAGAAGGTGGGGATGCCGAATAATACGCCACTCCGCGATTTTGTTGCCAAGGTATGCTTCTCCCTTGAACAACTTCGTCATTTTTACGAAGCGACCAGTAATTGGAGTTATTTTGCTAGGCTTCTGGAGGTCATCCACTGACATGATGAAACAGACATTGGCCCACATCCATCTTTTTGACTCTTACCACAACGATCTGCCCTTCCGAGAAGCGATCAAGAAAAAGCATGACAGAGAGCCGTATGCCAACCCAATGGTCAGGTTCAAGTGGTGAGTGCATGTTTTGAATCCACATGACTCCCAGGAAGATAATTAGAAAGGCCAGGGTCAATGCTCACCACAGGTCTGCGTCTAGGAATCTCGGTTCCAAGCTCACGGATGAGCAATACCAAACTACGCGCCAAGAGCAAGAAATCTACCGCAAGTCCTCCACCAACATATCTTTGACAACAACACCATCCTCGTTCTCCCCGCCGGAGATCCCGAGCCCCTCTACAGAAATGCATACTCTGGACCCCCCGAGAAAAGCGGCGATTTTCTTGCAGAGACCTGTACTCCTTCTTAGGAGGACTCCCGCAGGTGGTTGTGCCGAGTAAGTTATATGTCCATCCACCATTCACCCAAGTTCTCATTTTGACCTGATTTGTAGTTGGCAGTGTATCACGCATCTCTCCTGTCACAAATGCGCGTGTAGAGGTCCCTTCGTCTATTTCCATTGTTGGCCGGGATGGTAGGCTAAATCATGGCCCCTTTTGCTGACAGAAAGATCTGCTAACCGAGCTAGGATCTGATGCTGTTATTATAGAGTTTGTGGAAAAGGTCTTGGTCAACAGTCACCGGCTCTTGGAGGCATCGGCTGAGCCAGTATCATTTCCAGGTCTCAAGAATGAACGGGCTGATTAAAGTGGATAGTGAATTATGTCTTTTTATCCCAACACCATCAGTTAGCTTATCACAATACATATAGAGATAGTTCATAGGCCTTGACTATCTAAGTTAGGCTTTAGAGGTTAGTCAAGATGCGTTTCGAATGCATTCTGAGGCCTTGACATTCATTCGAAGTCACTTTCCTTTCTTTATAGAACGTGTGTGCTTGGTGCCTGCAGCTACTAATAATTCTTCTGCTATTTATGAGCTCTTAGCAGCAGTGTTTAGTAAGCACGTTATAATGCCTGTGGTTTAAAGGTGCCGAAAGCATGGCAAAATAGCTGTACGGAAGAATGAGAATGACAGGGTGAACAACTGAATAGGTGTGGTGTGTTAGGTATATCGCGAAACTGTGGTCTTATGGATTCTACCGTAACCATATCTCTTCACATACCATCTCCCCAGGTGTCTGAGTCTCTGTTAGGGGGCCTTTACCAACATACGCCGCACCAACAACGCTGTATGACATTGTCTTGTTGTCGTTCCCAGATCTCAGAATCAAGTAACCACCACCCATGGTGCAGCCTCGTACCTGCACCAAGTAATCACCATGATCCAGTGCTAGCATACGGCTGTTGCTTCCAGTGTATCCCGTATCCGTAACAAAAAAGCGAATCCCCTGGCTGTCATATATTCCGGATGATTCAGACTCTCGAAACCACCCCAAGATTCGGACTAAACTAGCAAGCACGCAGACAGGACTTCTGTCTTGCGAGAAGCGAATGGCAAGGGCAGTGACTGCTGCCAACACGGGCAATTTCAGGAACCACAGGAACTTCCAAAGGTGAACAACAAATGCCACCAGAAATCCGGAGTTGGCGATGACACCGAACGGCCAGGCGAAGAGGTACAGGCTGGTGTCCCCGAGAAACATGCTTAATTCCTGGGTGACCTCTGAAATCAAGCGGCTCATGACGGGGAGACAAGTAGCGTATCAATGTCTTGATAGCTAGTTCCTAACGAGGTCTCGAGAATCGAGACGCGAAACTCCTAGTAAGCCGCCGGTGATGAAGACGACATCGCCGGCAGACTGGCGCCACATGTTTTGGTTTATGTACGACCTGCCCTTTAAAAAGACCCCGAAGGCCTGTGAGATTGCGTTTGTTTCTAACATCGGCTGGATCTTGAAGCCAGAAACAAGTCTCATGCGCGCGCCATCACAAGGGCAGGAAGCCACTGTGGTAATCCAGGAACAGAGAAACTGAAAGGCCCTTGGAGTGAAGTAGGTGTGTGATGTATAGGCTGAGGTTGCGTAGGCTATAACGTCAAATTCTCCCGGAGTGCGGGAGGCTATTCGAAGTGAGACAAGAATCTGGCGAATATGTGACCTCCAAGTCAGTTTTATCAACGTTTCGGCCAGAGCGCTCAAGACAGGGTCTGGAGCAGATCTTTGCAGAAGTGGCTTTGCTTGGTTGATCATGGAGATGAATAAAATCTGCCATAGCAGCTGGACCGAATTTACGGTTCCGATCTCTTCCACACGGCCGAAGACTTTAGCTTCCACTAGTAAAGACTGTTTGTTGAGCTCGTATCGAACGGCTTCGTTTGTGGGCTGAGATGTCGAGACAGAGACAAACGTGTCAAGTGTCGAGTAGAGGCAATGCGCGCCGGTATAGGTTGTGTCCAGTCGGGTATCCAAGAGGGCAAAGTGATAAGACCCTCTGTTTCCGGGGTATAAGATTTGTCTCGTCCAGCTCGAAGGTTGTTTGTAGCCATTAACAATCCGCGCGTTATAGAACATAGAGAACTGGATACAAGGTTATACGGATTGTGATTGGCGTGAGAAAGAACGTTATTGAAGAGCCGCATGTAAGAATTTGACT